GCCATGCTTAAACTCAGTCTCAGGCAAAGTCTGGGCAGGAGCAAAATGCAGACAACTTCTCTGCCAAGTCAAAACACAAATGATCTGGAGTCCAACAACCAATGCTGTCTTTTTTCCCAGCAGAAACCTCCCCAGCCTGGTCTTTACAGGCCAGCTTTCTATCAACCTTCTGGTCTTCTGAGCTCTGACCAGAATCTCCCATACAGAACAGCCGAAGCTGTTCCAGCGCTTCGTGTGTAGACGACATCTCTGAATCTTTCTTATCTCTTCCCATGAGCCAGTCCCAAAAGCTTGTAATCCACATGATCAGGTTTAGCCACAGCAACGACCCCACTCTCGGTACCAAATTCTGTCTTAGTTACTCTTCTCTCGTTGCTGGGACAAATACCTGATACTCAAAATGAAGGAAGGAAAGGTTTATTTAGCTCACAGTTACTGGAGGTTTCAGTCCATACTCAGCTGGGTCCAACGCAGAGCAGCACAGAGCAGAGCAACCTTTCATGGCGGCGGCAAAGAGCAAGAGCACAAGGAAGGGGTAGCAGCAGCTCAAGCAGCTGGCTTCTCTTCCCTCCTTACATTGTAATGCAAATTACCTGCCCCAGGGTAGGGGAAGTACTCACACCTATGGGTACTTCTCAGTACTTACCCAGCTATGGGTAATCCCAGCAGTACTAAAACCCATAATCCCAGCCTTGGATCACACGTAATTCCGGTGGATCATGAGTTAACACAAACTCTAGAAGTCCTCACCCCATGACTGCATGAGGCTTTGGGGGGACAACTAGACACAAACCATAACACTGACCCCTTGTCTGGGCAGACAGCACCCTCGAGCTGAGGAGGGCCGAGCTGGGAGGGGTCACTCAGCCTAGGGCAGTTGGCCAACACCAGGGTGCTGGTGTCTCCAGACAGTGGCCTCCAGCAGTGACAAGTCCCAGGGCCTCATGCTCAGAATGGCCTCAGTGAGCGCATGAGCCCCTCAGTCAGGTGTGTGCGCCCTAGGAAGCGCAAGGCGTGGCCTCAGCACACGCGCCATGCAGAATGGCCGGTAGCAACAGCAGCTGGCAAACGTGGGGCTCTCTTGGCCCAGCTGTTCTGCTTTGAGGCATTTCCCCCCAAGAGCTGACGACAACATATTCCAGGGACCACACACACCTGTGCCTACAGCTGCCAGCTCACTGCCAGCTCCAGCTGGAAGCAGCCTGTCTGTCCATCGGCTGATGGATGGATTGAGGTGCTTACACAATGGAGCTCTATGCTGCCACAAGGGAAGATTGAGTTGAGGTGTTCGCTGGAGGCACCTGGAGACCAAACGGTTAGGTGATGTAAATCAGACACAGGAGCTTAGATACCCAGGGTTCCTCCCACTTGAGAAGCTCATAGTGTACTTGAAGAGCAAAATGAACGGTAGATGACAGGAAGCAGGGATAGACCTTTTGCAAGCGGAAGGGGACCGGGAGGTGAGGAGGTATAAACAGAGGAGGCTGTGTGTGTGTAGAGCAGGCTCACTGTGAGAACTGTGGTTGCCCTGGTGGCTGGCAGAAGGCCCTCTGGCACTTGCCAGCTCACTGATACGTACGTGGGTCGGAAGCACTGTGCAGCAGCCATGGCTGTTAATAGGCACGTGGTGCAGTGAGACCGAGTGTGGCCAGAGGACACCAAGGGCAGGCCGGCCACAGGTGGCTGGGCTGCTTGCCGGGCCTGCACGGTGTGGGCTGCCGGACAGTGAGGGAGTCGTCTCCACTGAGGGGCGCCGAGCTCTGTCACATCTAAAATAGCAAAAGCACCTCGGTCTGGTGCCTCAACCCAGATGCCTCCTGTCCAGTCACCATCTGTCCCCAGAGCAGCAAAACAGCTCCCCTGAGAACCACCTTAAACTAATCCAGGTTTAATAATTCATGGAGTGGCATCAAGTAACAGCCCAGCCCCCGCAGCCCTGTTCTGCTACATCTGCCTGACACCCACAAAGCACAGGCTGAGTTTTACCTCAAACTTACAGCTGGAATGGCTGGAATGACCGGGGCAGGGCAGGAGAAACAGAGAAGCCACGCAGAAGTCGGAGATAAGTGCGGTGTGTGGGAGGCGGGCCCTCAGGTCCCCTCTCATCCGGGCAGTGGCCTGACTCCACATGCTGACCTCACAGTGGGCTCAGGAGGGTGGGGAGGACAACATATTTGGAACCCAAACAGCGTCAGTTTTCCTGTCTCCTTGGAGGTGGAGCTGTGCACTCTAACAGCTGCGTGTCAGCCCCTCTGCTGAGGGTCCTCATGCGTCGCCCAGCCACCTGGGGGCCCCTCACTGTGACCTGGTGGGATACGCAACTTGCACATTATACAGACAAGGAAACTGAGGCATAGAGACAATAAGCAAGGTGAGGGAGGACAGTTGGTGTAAACCTAGGTCCACTCCAGCCTGAAGCCCTGGCCAGTGCCCTGCCCACTCTTCTGCACCTGCTCTGCTGACAAGGCTTCATTCCCCCAGGTCATAATGCTGAGCTCAGTGCCAGAACTGCACGGCTACATTGACAAGTCACAGCTGACCGAGGACCTTGGGGGGACCCTGGACTACTGCCACTCCCGCTGGCTGTGCCACCGCACAGTGAGTGCGACCCTGCGTGCTGTGGGCTGTGTCCTCGCGGATCAGCAGTTAGCCCAGCAGGCTGCTTCTGTCCTGACTTGGCCTCCTCCAGACGCGAGGTCCCAGCAGCTCCCACCCTTTCAATGAGGAGATGGTCTCAGTAGACCTTAGTCATCTCAAGGAACGAACATGAGTAATAAGTTCGGGAGTGGTTTGCTTAGGCTTGGAGGAGAGAAAGGGAAAACACACAACAGTGTGTTGTGGTTGTGGTGTGCGCTTAGCAAGGTGGGAGCGAGACAGCCATCTGGAGGGCCTGCCTGGTAGGTCTGGGGCCCCTGGCCGGGTCACTCAAGAGGCCCATGGCCCAGCCACTCCCTTCCCCAAGGCAGTCACAGCTGGTGTCGGCTTTCAGGAGGCCGTTGCGCTTGTGTGACAGGTGACCAGGGTGCTCCCCCTTGCAGGCAATCGAAAGCTTTGCGCTCATGGTGAAGCAGACGGCCCAGATGCTGCAGTCCTTTGGGACCGAGCTGGCGGAGACTGAACTGCCCAATGACGTCTCGTCCACCAGCTCGGTGTTGAGCATGCACACAGAGAAGAAGGACAAAGCCAAGGTACGTGTGATTCTCAGGGGCTTCGGTGAGCGCGGCTCCTCCGCCCCACATGCCAGCTTTCTAGGTGCCCAGGTAACCTGGTAAACCATGGCCCAGTGTCATGGCCCTTCTGCTGGCAGAGTCAAAGCTAGGCGGTCAGGGGCTGCCCTCCCTGAGGGTGCTCAGTGGCTGGACAGCTAAGGAGGCCGGAGCCCCAGCCCACCCCTCACCTACTGCAGGGAAGATACAATGACCTGCAGCCTCTGGCTCCTTTCTGGGGTTAACTTGCTGCCACCTGAGCCCTGGCAGCCTTGTCCCTGCTGCCACTGGGGGGTATGACCAGCAGGACATCCCTAGGATTCTGCCCTGGCCAGATAGTCACACCCAGGTCAGCCTTCGCCCTGTAGAGAGACCACATGGAAGAGACGGGGGTAGGAAGCCTGGTTTCTGGTTACATCTTTACCTTACCCCCACTCCCTGCAACCCTAGCTCTGCCCTGGTGCAAAGGGTGAGTTGCCGACACAGGTGGAGTGTGGCATAGGCACACGGAGGGGATGGCTTTGTGCCACCGTGCACGATGGCCCGCGGTCTGAGCACATGCCCAAGTGGGCCGCGGTGCGAGGCTGCATTGTATTCACAGGAGGATCTGCGGCTGGCGCTCCAGGAGGGGCAGGGCATCCTCCAGAGCCTCCAGGACCCGCCAGCTGAGGGCTCGGTGCAGGGTGTGAACCAGGACCAGCTGGACAGCCAGACCACTGTGCAGAGGTGCCTCCCACACCAGCCCAGTCCCCAGCGCACCAAGACTCTGTTTCCCCATCTGTCAAGCAGTCAGAAAGGCCTGCCAGCTGTTGGCTGGAGCATGCAGTGCAGGCCCCTGCCCCCACCCTGAGTCAGAGTTGGAGAAGCCCCTGTGGCCCCCGCCCCTGCAGCTGCAGGTGCCACGGGGCTGAGCCCTGCTTGGGAGAACCCCTTCCCTGTGAGGTGCAGAGGGGCTCCCCACTCTGCTGACCTGCCCCCGACCTCGACAGCCCGGACTCTGGATCAGGACCACGGCCCTCACCTGCACCTGCTCTCTTTGCAGACTCCTGGCCCAGCTGCACGAGACCGAAGCTGCCTTTGATGAGTTCTGGGCCAAGCACCAGGAGAAATTGCAGCAGTGCCTACGCCTACGCCACTTCGAGCAGGGCTTCCGCGAGGTGAGGCGAGGGGCTGGCCCTCAGCGGGCGCGGGAAGGCGGGGCCTTGGCGCCAGGGGCGGGGCCTGCACAGGCTCCATCTCCGCGCTCGCTCGGCACCTGCAGAAAATGATGCTTGTGGCTTGCTTCCGTGTGAACCGCAGAGGCCTCTTCAGACCAGGTGGCGTTTTTGAAGTGTTTTATTTAGAGATAGCTCATCATAGGTCCAGGGCAGCTGTGAAAAGTAGTGCACAGGGGCTCTGCGCCCTCCCCAGGGCCGCACAAAGGTAGCAAGGCACGTGACCACACGCTCAGGCCTGCAAGCCCGCCCCTGGCAGGCCGTGGCTACTCTGCGCATGGAGGGGGGTCGTGGAGCGGCTCTCCGCGTGGCTCCTGGGGCTCTCCTAGGCTTGCGTGTGGGTGTTTTCTTCGTGCGGCAGATCCTTGCTCCCAGGGACACCCTGAATCCCTCCCTTGGGGACTGGGCGTACTTAGGTTGTGCTTTGAGCGTCGGTGTGCCGCCTGAGTGACATCAAGCGCGCACGCGCGCGCGCACACACATGCCCAAGTGACCAGCCCCATACGCTGTCAAGCTTTTGGTGTGGTCTTTGTGTTGATTCATGCTCCCATCTGGCGGGTGTGTTCTGGTTCTCCTGACCCCGTCAGCACTGCCTCGGGCACCAAGCCCTGAGCACGGGCCTGGGGACAAGCTACGCCAGCCAACTTCTGCGCAGGCGGTGTCCTCCGACTCCCACCCATCCTGCTGTCCGCAGCGGGCTGCTGGCCAGCACAGTCGCTGCGTCACGCTGCGCAGACCCATCGGCCTTGCCGTTCTGGAGTCGGTGTCTGGGCCGTGCATTCTGCATAGCATTAAGGGTACGTTAGGGCAGGGGAGATGGCTCAGTGGAATAAGCGCTTCCCTGGCAAGCACAAGGGCCTGAGTTCAAACCCCGGTTCCGCTGAAATAAGAGTACGTTAGGACTTCAGGCTGCATTTTATTTTGGCGTATTTTCATTCCATTTTTTCCCCTTGCTGTTTTCTTTTTCCTGCCTTTCTGTGGTTAAACATTTTCCAAAACTTACTTTTCACTAAACCTTAGTGTTTTTTGGATTCACCTCTTGGTGCAGGTTTTTTAAGGATTGCTCTGGATGTCCTGTCGTAACTTATTTTATGCCCTATTACGTCATCATGATATTAGGGTAACACATAGTCCAGAGTCCAGAGGGAGGTGAGCTTCCCATAGCCACCCACCTGCCCCGCGAGTGGCCGGGTTACCGTCGGTACGCTCCTGCCTGCACTCAGAACCACACCAGCACCCCAGCTTGCTTCTACCATCACAGCCTAGAAAACCCAGGGCAGCGAGTCTGAGCCCTGTGCCGCCTGCCTGGGTCAGGCATGGACAAGAGTCTCATCCTAGCCCTCAAACCCAGGCTGCCAGAACCACAACCCCACAGTAGCCGACATCTGTATGCGCTCACTCTCAGGCAATGTCTAATAAGAAAACAAAAGCTGTCCTATCTAAAGGGATAAGCTGTCATGGTTTTTAAAATTGTGAAGCTAAGTACACACCTGTAATCCCAGCACTCTGGGAAGCTGAGGCAGGAGGACTGAAAGTTCAAGGCCAGCCTGGGCAATTTAGCCACTTAGCAAGACTGTCTCAAAATTTAAAAAAAAAAAAAAAAAGACTCTATGAAACCCTGTCTTTTTGCCAATGCCATACAAACAAGATATTTGGGGTAGTCTGAGCTGGAAGGGAAGCCGCCTCAGAACTCCCCACCCAAGCCAATACCTGGTGGGGTGTTGCACCACACCCCTACACAGCCTGCTGTTGGACCTTTGGCTTCCAGGTGTCCCTGTGAGTGGGTAGCAGGCCCAGGGTCCAGCGGTCCTCAGTGGCAGGGGCCACTCTTAGGCTGGCTGTGGCCCTGGCCCTGTCCAGCCCAGGCTTGCCACTGCTGTTCCTGGCATGGCTTTCCAGCTGGCCTCCTCTGTTCCAGGTCAAAGCCGCCTTGGACATGGTGTCCCAGAAGATAGCAACCTTCACAGATGTTGGAAACAGCCTGGCACATGTGGAGCACCTGCTGAAGGACCTGGCCAGCTTTGAGGAGAAGTCCAGCGTGAGGAGGGGCACAGCAGGGGGACTCCAGCCCCACACCCACCGAGGCCTCAGGCACACAGACTGCCCTTGAGCAAGCCTCTGTTGCAGGGCTGTAGCTATCTGCTGCTTCTTCCCTGTCCAGTGATGTGTCCTCAGGCCGGGTGGCTCCTGTTGCCTCCAGACCCCCAGGAACCCTGGCCCTAGAGTAGTTTTGGGGTGAGGGACATTCAGCTGACCACAGTTGGAAACAGCGCTGATGTCTTCCCCACACCCCGGGTCCAACAGCCCGAAGGATCAGGTCCCTCTACCAAGGACACCCAAGCTCCCTTTCCTGTGTCCGCAGATGGCTGTGGACAGGGCCCGCGCCCTGGCGCTGGAGGGTGAGGGGCTCATTGACAACAAGCACTACGCCGTGGACTCCATCCGCCCCAAGTGTGAGGAGCTGCGGCACCTCTGTGACCAGTTCTCCTTGGAGGTCAGCAGGAGGCGGGGCCTGCTCAGCAAGGCCCTGGAGCTGCACAGCCTTCTGGAGACGGTAGGTGGCCCCTCTGCCTAGGCACCCATGGACAAATCTAGGGGCAGTTCTGTTGCTGGGCTGCAGTGACCACTGAGCAGGAAGTGGCCTCCTCCCTTCCCTGTGTTCCTCTTTCTGTCCACCTGGAGGGTCCAGTCCTGACGGGCTCTTCTGCCTCTGAGGATTCATCACCACAGTAGTGATTTCTGCCAGGGGACCAGAGGCCTAGCATCCTGGTTTGTCCCTTGTCCCCCTCTGCCACTCAGAAGAATCCAACCCTGCTGCACCCCAGGGAGCGCCCTGGATTTGGGGCAGAGACCTGAAGGATAAGCCAGTACTTTAGATTTCTCCTGAAAACGTGTCAGGGCAGATGGTGTGAGACGTGCAGGGGAGGAGGGGGCAGAGCCCTGTGAAGGGCGCCTGAGGCGCAGGCTCTGACCCAGGGCTCTGCTTCTAGTCTATGAGGTGGTGCGATGAGGGCGTCTACCTGCTGGCCTCGCAGCCTGTGGACAAGTGCCAGTCCCAGGATGGCGCTGAGGCGGCTCTGCAGGAGATTGAGAGGTTCCTGGAGACTGGTGGGGAGCACAAGATCCAGGAGCTCAACAAAATCTACAAGGAATATGAATCCATCCTCAACCCAGACCTCATGGTAATGCCAGCTGGGGCTCCCGGCAGCCTGGGCGCTCTGGACAGTGGGGCGTCACTCACTGGCAGAGGCTGTCCTGGGGGCCCATCACACCCCAGTGCCTCTCGACACTGAACTGAAACAGGGCTCTTTTCACCCCCCACCCCTGTGACCCCAGGGAGACGTTTGGCCCACCTGAGACCACTGCCCTAAGACCCTGAGGCCACCACCCTCCTGGCCCAGCCCCTCCACTGTGGCCCAGAGCTGCACAGCACGGGATGTGGGAACCCAGGCAGCAGAGCTGCGTGCTGTGGCACCTCCTGCGCAGGCCAGCGCGCTCTCTGCGTCTGGGTTCGATGCAGTGTGGGGCTCACAGCGGTGTCCTTCCAGGAGCATGTGCAGAAAGTCTTCCAGAAGCAGGAGAGTATGCAGGAGATGTTCCACCGCAGGCAGGCGAGCCTCAAGAAGCTGGCAGCCAAGCAGACCCGGCCTGTGCAGCCAGTGGCACCCAGGCCAGAAGTGCTCACGAAGTCACCCTGCCCATCCCCAGGTGTGTGCAGCAGCCCTGGCCAGTGAGCTGGGTGACTGCGGTGGGCACCACATAGGCAGTGTCCCCCTGCGTGCCTACCTCCTCCTTGTCCAGTCCCCGCACAGCCAACAGCCGGCAGTGTGTGCCCAGAGCCGGTGCAGCCCATGCCGGGGTCAACAGGACTTGGGTCACCCTGTGCCTCGGCTATGGCCACTCTTGTGCTGGGCAAAGACAGAGTTGCGTCCTGTCCCCCGAGACGTGCTGTGTTCCTAGGCCATTTTCTCACCCCTGTCCCCACCCACCAAGCTCCATGCTGCAGCTGTAGCATCCTCTCTCAGCCTGGCCTGCTCAGGCCTTCCTGGCTGCCCACCATGACCAACCCATGTCCTGCCTGACCCCCACACCTACCAGGGCTCCACAGCCCCCCTTTTCTAGCCCTGCTCCCTGTGCCCCTGCCAGGCCAGGCCACCGCACATTTTTGAAGTTCCTGTCCCTTACCCCAGAACACTTCCTGTCTTTTCCTCGATGGGTTTCCTTCCCAGAACTCAAGGCTCAGTAGGCTTGGGAATGTCAGCGTGCACCTTGACTTTTGGCAAATGACACTCGCAAGTGCTGAGAGCCTTCAGCACCTGGGACAGGGGAGGTCGCTCCTCTGCCTGCCCAGTCCCACCCCCATGTTCCTGCCACCCTGAAGGCAGGGGCTCCCACCAGCCGATGCCCAGAGATCCCCACCCTCCCTGTCCCTGGCATCTCTCACCTCCTCTACATGGCTGCTTCCTTTCCTCTCTTCTCTGGGCCTTCTGTATCTCTGTCAGAGAGCTGAGAAAAGCTCATGTCTCCAGCTCATGCAGAACTAACACCCTTCCCACCTTCCTCCAAACTAGGTGCCTGGCGTGGACCTGAGAACTCGGGCTCTGAGGGCAGCGCACTGCGGCGGGGACCATACCGCAGGGCCAAGGTGAGGTCGCCTGCTGCCATGACCTCACAGGCCTCAGCTTCACTGCCCCTCTTCCTGTGCCCTCTCTGGGGGCTCCTCAAGACTGCCGGACTCCAGAGAGACATCTCCTTGGGACTGTCCCCGAGGGGTGATGTCTCATCTCTGTCTCTCGTGCTGCAGCTCCAGATTGGAGTTGACGTGCCAATGCGCTCTTCTCCCACAGAGTGAAGCGAGCGAGAGCCGGCAGGGCCGCGGCAGCTCCACGGGGGACGAGGAGGAGAGTCTGGCCGTTCTGCGCAGGTGAGCACCAACCCAGTCACGCTGGAGCGCCCACCCTGATCCGGGCTGAGGCCCTGGGGTCCTGGGCAGCTGGGTGCCTCTGCGAGCCGCGGGGCGCCTCCACCCTGTGTGCGGAACTGGGACAGATGTGGGCAGGGGCACACTCCAGTGCAAGCACAGATCCACTGGGCTGGAGTGACCGGCCACACTGCTGAGTCCTAATGGGCCCTGGTCACCTCTCCCACGGAGACTGACCTCCTTACAAAGGCAGACCTGGCCATGTTCAGAGATGCCCCAGACTCCATCCACTCCTGTTTGGCTGCTGAGACCCTGCCTGTCTGCCCACCTCTGGCTGAGCCACTCCCGCCTCCACCCTCAGTTCTCTTTTGGCCATTATCCCCTTACTGTTCATGTCATTCAGGTGCTCTCAGGGTTAGTGTCCACTTTTCCACCTCTTGAAAGCTTGTGGGCAGCAAGTGAGCAAAGCCATGGGGTGGTCTTGGGAACACAACTGGACCAGTGTGGACACCAGGATGTGGGCAGCTGACACCTCCCATTCCAGATGGTCTTACGTGACTCTTGAACCCAGCCACAGGGCGCAGCTCTAGGCCCAGATTTGGGCCAGGCCAGCGTGGGTCTAGGCAGAGCCACAGGACACATGATCTCCCACCTCCCTAGGGCACTGCCTGCTACTGTCATTCTCACAAGCCACCACCATCAGTCAGGGCCACCGAGGGCCAGAACTGCCACTCCAAGCCCACGTGTGGCCAGCGCGTTGTGGGGGCAGTGCTCCTGCTCACTCCCTGTCTGGCCCTTCTGCTCACTAGGAGCCCAGGTCCACCACCCAGGTGTGCTGAAGAGTAGCTGCCATCTTGCTCAGTCCCACACAGCCCAGGGCAGGCCACGCTGAGGTGCAGCGGCACAGGAGGTGGACAGGGAAGGAGGCTTCAGGACACAGGTTTCAGGGACAGCAGCCAGAGCCTAGGTCTCCACATCATCTGGACAGAAGGGACCTGGGATGGACCTGTGCATAGGGCAGCCTAGTCCTGGGCTCCCCCTGGCACCATGCTTTTGCTGTCTGTCCCGCACACGGCTCCAGCAAACACCTGGACCCCAGGCATTTTACGGTCATTGCTCTGAAGCTGGGGTGGAGAAGTGCATCTGGCTTCGGTGTACACCAGGGGTGCCCAGCAGCCATGGTGCTGTCCCCTGAGGCTGGGATATGGAGTAGATCTGTGGTTAGGCGGGTGGGTCCCATCAGGCGCTGACCAGGAGGAGGCAGACACTGGAGAAGCTTCTAAACAGAACACAGGCTGTGGTTCACAGCCTCCAGCTGACCGGTACTGGTCCTGAGGGAGCCCTAGGCTACCACCGCACACCCCTTCCCGAGCAGGGTGAGACCCTCAAGGCATGTGTGTTAGACAAACCAAGCCAGAGTCTCAGGCCAGGAGCCCCAGGGGTTCCTGGTGGGTGTGACTGGAGGAAGCAGCTCCTCGTGGAGGGCCCAGGGAGCTGGGGACTGGCTGGGCTGCACCCAGAAGGCGCAGGAGGTGGCCAGCTGGGGCTGTGAGGCCCATGGAGGGCATACATGCTGGGCAGGTCCTTGACTCTGGCCCTCTGGGACCCCAGACTTGCACCCAGCTGGCTCTCCCCATCTCTACCCCACCCCAGGCACGTGATGAACGAGCTGCTGGACACAGAACGGGCCTACGTGGAGGAGCTGCTCTGCGTCCTGGAGGTGAGGCTGAGGAGTGCAGGTCTTGCTGGCCTTGCCCACCCTGGCATGGTGTCAAGCTGCTGCTTAGAGATGAGTGTCCATGTGCCCAGAAGGCATGTGGACTGCCAACTGGGGGGAATTTAGCTGTCCCTCACAGGCCAGGGGTGGGGCACCCCTAAGGGAGACCTGTGTGAGGTGGGGCTTCTGCAGCCACAGCGCTGCCCACTCCCAGCCAACTTGTGCCTGGCAGGGAGTCTGGGCAGAGAAGCCAGCACAGCACAGCCACATGGGTGGAAAGTCCCAGAGCTATCCTGGGTGGGCGGCCGAAGGGCCTTGCGTGCCACACCCTTAGGGTGACCAGTGGCTGGTGGCCACCACCCAAGGATCATTCATGCCAGTGCCTGGGCGAGACCCATACCCTTCTGCTGGATAAAAGATCACAAGGAAAGTGGGTAGCCTCCACCCGCCCCCGTGCGGCAAGCGTTTATGGCTCTGTCACCATACCGTGGTGCCCAGTCACAGAGCTGGTCCTGAGTAAACAGGAGTGGACTTGCTCAGAAGGGTGAGACTGACGGTGCCTCAGGCCCCAGTACCCAAGACTACAGTTCTGTGGCAGCTGCTCAGTGGCCTCCCCTTGCCTGGTCCTCACATCTCAGCTGTGGGTGGGAACCCCCAGCCGACTGCTCCCCTATCCCACAGGGCTATGCTGCCGAGATGGACAACCCCCTGATGGCCCACCTCATCTCCACGGGCCTGCACAGCAAGAAGGGTGTGCTGTTTGGGAACATGGAGGAGATCTACCACTTCCACAACAGGTGGGGCTTGGGCACCTCACAACTGGATCTCACTGTCGCGAGCCGGTGCCACTGCCCCAGTTCTGCTTGGGGGTTGGGGGGCGATGGACAAGAACTCAGTGCCACAGATGCATGGCAGGTGCCAGGAATGCCCACGTGGCTCTTGGCCTTGGTGACACTGCCTGTGTGCCCAAGTCCTAGACTCAAGGTGCTGGGAAGCAGGAGCAGCAGGCCCATCTGTCCTTTCTGTCCTCCAAGGGACACCTTTAGCGTCTCAGGGCCCCAGGGTCTCACTGCCTGGCCAGCTCTGCTCCCCAACCAGCCCGCTCTTGGCAGGGACAGCAGGCCAGGTGCTCCTTCCCTGTGTTCCTGAAGAGCTGGAGGCTCTTTCAGCAGACCCAGTGTAGCTGGCCTGGGTACCGATTCTTAGCCCCTCTTTGCTATTTATTGCCTCCCAAGGATTTGCGGTAGCTGGTGGGGGCGGAAGTGGGTGGGTGGGGAGCAAGGACAGGGTGGCCTGCCCCAGAGTGGCAGGAGCAGAGAGGTGGATGCCTGTGCACACCACTGACCCCAGAGTTGTCCCTGCCCACAGAATGTGCAGGACACTCTAGCATGCTAAGCCTCCCTTCCTGGGACAGATGCCAGTCAGAATGTGAGAGGCCATCCAGACCTGGGCCCTGGGCTTATGCTGCCCCTCAGAGGGGCTCCTGTCTCATCTGTCTTTGTCTTTCTCCATCTGTGTCTCAATGCCAAGGCAACTTCAACTCCAGTGTGATTGCAACACCCCAAATAGGGAAACAGCTGGGCTGCTCATACAGTGTGTGGTGTCCAAGTCACACGTGGGGTGCAGGGCCCTTGGTCATCAGGCGGGCAGTGTCACCCAGTCTCCGACTGCTCGGAGCAGGCACGCAGGTCCCCTGGACAATAGTGTCCTTGGGTGCCAGTGGTTTTCTGTAGCTCAGCGCAAACTTCTCCCTGTAGGATCTTCCTGCGGGAGCTGGAGAGCTGCATGGACTGCCCCGAGCTGGTGGGACGCTGCTTCCTGGAGCGGGTACGTTCCCTGGCAGCTGCCGCCCCACTTCTCCCCAAGGCTCCTGAGCGCCCAGGACCTTGGACCCCTGCCGGGGCTGCCCCACCCCCCGCCCCGCCACGTGCGTGCATCTCTGCCTCTGGCAGGGGAAGGTCAGAGCTCTTTAGCGAGCTAGCTGCAGAGAGACAGAAGCTAGAGGATGGAGCTTCGAGGGGAGGGGACATTCACGCCCAGGGTGTGAGTTTCTCCGAGTTTGTCTCTGTCTTGGTCCTGCTCTGCGATGCTCCCAACTTGCTGGAAGCCGCTGGTGTCGTAGTGGAGCTCTCTGAGCCTCATTTTCTCCCGACTGGCCGGCATCTGCTCCTTCGTGGGACAGACTCTAAGGGGAGGCTCGTGCAAGAGCTCTGAGCAGGAAGGGCCCCAGCCCCTGCCACCCTGGCACTGTGAGCCAGGGCTTAGCATCGGGCAAAGGCAGCTCTCGAGAGCAGAACCAGCAAGTGACCTCAGAAATAAAGAGCTGAAGGCTACCACCAGGGAAGGCAGAGAAGGAAGGGCTGCCTGGCGGGTCCCGGTGCCACTGAGAGCGGGGCAGCACTGCGCTGTGGCGGGGTCCTGGCCAGCAGCAGTGTGTCCAGGGTGGCTGGAGGGCTGGCCCCATGCTGCCGTGAGCCGCCAGCTGTGGGTCTCCATGGGGACTCGCCAGCCTGGAGGCTCTGTGGAGCAGGGAGCTGCTGGTGGTGGAGCAGGCTCCTAGTAACCAGAGGCCTGCGAGTGAAGTGAGCATGTGAGTCCTGACACGCGCTGGCCGAGTGCAGGGTGGAGGGAGTTGGGCGGCAGTGCGGCTGTGCGGTGGTGGGCTCAGCAGCTCCACTGAGTCTCGGGGCGCACACTCACCGGCTCTGGTTTGCTGGCTCTGGGGTCACAGGACGAGGCCATGGTCACTGGTAGCATCCAAGGCCCCCCGGCCCCGTGCTCCACTTCCATGGCCGCCTTGAAACTTTGGGTTCAGGGCTGAGGCAGGGCTGGCTGGGGACAGCTCACTGGCCAAAGGCAGGTCTGGGGGCTGTGGGACTTGGAGAGAGTGGGCAGGGAGCTGGGGCCAAGACCTAACTAGAATGGGCCAGCCAAAGGGTGTTGTGCCCCAGAGATGTCTGCACCCTAAAGCCACCCATGCTGCAAAGTCTTCTGTACCCCAGACCACATGCTCCCCCAAATCCTTGCATCTTAGAGCCGCCTGCGCTCCAAGTCCTGTGTACTTGGGAGCCGTTCACACCCCGAAACCTTCTGTGCCCTGAAGCCGCCCAGACCCTGAAGTCCTCCTAGTTACCCTAAAATCAGAGGCGCACAGGGGCAATTTCATCTCATACAAGTTCAAGTTTTCTTTTTATAGAATTTTTGATATAATTTGAAAAACTACCTAAGAGACCCTGGGGTTTTATTTAAATAAATGATCAGTTAATGCTGTAAACCACCTTTGAAAGAAGGCTTGCAGCAGCATCCCCAGCGGTGGTTGCCAGGGCTAGGGGCCCCCTTCCTTACTCAGGAGAGACTGTGACATGTCTGTCCCTGCCTGCCCTACAGATGGAGGACTTCCAGATCTACGAGAAGTACTGCCAGAACAAGCCGCGCTCCGAGAGCCTGTGGAGACAGTGCTCCGACTGCCCCTTTTTCCAGGTAGCTGGCCCTCCCCATGCCACTCCCCCAGTGACCCTGTGACAGAGACCCTGGCGAGGTCTAAGTTGCAGCCCTCTGCTCCAGGAGTGCCAGCGGAAGCTGGACCACAAGCTGAGCCTGGACTCCTACCTGCTGAAGCCGGTACAGAGGATCACCAAGTACCAGCTGCTGCTCAAGGTAGGCTCTGTGCTCTGCTGCCTTGCTGTGTCCCTGCTGTGCCTTGGCTTCCTTAGGGTTGGACATGGGAGCAGCCAGACACATCCTGCCTTAGATTCCTGCTCATCTGCAACAATGTGCCCCTCTAAACAGCTGTGCCCGTGTCCTGAGGCCCCTTGGGAGGGGTAGGGAGGTGTGAGCCAGCCCCTTCTGCTTGTTTGCCCAGAGAGGCAGGAAGCAGCGGGCATCTCCACCCTGGAGCAGGAGGGGTAGGGGCTGGGCTATACCTGCTGAGCTGAGCTGCCATTGGCTTCTGGGAGAATTGGTGCTCCGTGGGGACACGCGCATGCGTGATGCGTGCTTTGTGTCCTCACCCTCAGGAAATGCTGAAGTACAGCCGGAACTGCGAGGGGGCTGAGGACCTGCAGGAGGCTCTCAGCTCCATCCTGGGCATCCTCAAGGCTGTGAACGACTCCATGCACCTCATCGCCATCACTGGCTATGACGTAAGGGCCAACTGGGGTGACGGCTCCCATCCTCGCCCTGGGCAAGCCCTGTCACTTCCCTGCTCCCTGCGCATCATCGCTTGGGGACCAGATTATGCCTGTGGCTGTGGATCTCCCTCGCATGGGGATAGCCAGGTGTCTCTCCCTTTTCTGTCCCTGGAGAGCGGATGGGCCACTCTGCTCAGGGCCCAGTTAGGGGCAGGTGGCCGGGTGCTGACAGTCATGGTGCAGATAGGCGCTTGCACCCTTACAAGCTTATGTCAGGCTGCGCGCCGGCCTTCCGGTCTCTGCGTATCCACGCAGCACTCATTCTGTGCTTGGAATTGGTGGACCTGGCTGTTCAGCAGTTTCGGGCTTCTGTCCAGTCAGGCGTGTAGCACAGGGGCCCTGCGCGTGTCCCTGCTGTGGCCTTCGGCCTCAGTGACTTCACCTGTGAGCAGAGCCATCTGCATTGGTGCCCAGTACTAAGGCCCAGAGCTCAGCAGAACTCAAGCTGGGGCATGTGCGTGGTGCCATGTGTTGGCACACATCCCCAGGATCCTGTCCCACAGGCCTGCCTCCCTTCCACCTCGCTGAGGACTTGTGGGGTGGGGCGTGGCCTGCCCACCCCGCCCCTCGTCCCACACGCGTGCACTGTGTTCCAGGGCAACCTGGGCGACCTGGGCAAGCTGCTGATGCAGGGCTCATTCAGTGTGTGGACAGACCACAAGAAAGGCCACACGAAGGTGAAGGAGCTGGCGCGGTTCAAGCCCATGCAGCGGCACCTCTTTCTGCACGAGAAGGCCGTGCTCTTCTGTAAGAAGAGGGAGGAGAGCGGGGAGGGCTACGAGAAGGCTCCGTCCTACAGCTACAAGCAGTCCCTGAATGTGAGTGCATGGGGGCTCCAGGAGGGGCCAGAGCTACTCCTGCTGAGGAGGCTGGGACATGCCTCCACCCCTTGCTCTGGCTTCTGGCCAGGGGCAGGGCCTTCTGCAGTCTTGCCAGCCCCAGCACCCTCCCCTGTGCCACCACGTGCCCCATGGGTGGAGGTCCCGTGTGTGGCGACACTTGTCTCCCCATCCCTCACTTGCCAGATGACTGCTGTTGGCATCACAGAGAACGTGAAGGGTGACGCCAAGAAGTTTGAGATCTGGTACAACTCGCGGGAGGAGGTGTACATCATCCAGGTAGGACCACTGCCCGCCCCAAGCCCACGTCTGGGCCCGGGCCCCAGGGGCGGTCCGTCTTGGGGGATGTGCTGTGCAGAGGCAGGACTCTGGCCTACAGGACCCGGTGAGTGGGGGAGCCGTGTAGACCAGGTCCCTGAGCTCACACACGCAGGGCCAGGAGAGGGGGCACGCTGTCGGGAACTCAGGCTATGGCCGTCCCGTGCGCCCCTGCCAGAGCCCAGTGAGGATGGAGCCATAGGAAGAGTGGGCCTCTGTTCCCTTCAGATTCCAGTCCTCTGATTCCAGGGGGACTTGGTCCCAGCCAGGTCCTCTCCCTGCTGTCACCTGGGCCACCATGCCTCATGGAGCCGAGCAGGTGCACGCATGGGGCTGTGCTGTGGCACCTTCAGAGCCTGCAGTCACCTGACAGGAGCCTCAGCTGGGCCTAGGTCTCCCTCTGTTCCAAGACCAGACATTTACGGTCAGCACATCTGTACCTCTGGGCTGTTCTTGTCTCCCTCACTGTCACACATTCCACTCCTGGAGATGCCTGCTCTCAAGGGTGCTCTGTGGGGGGGCTCCCCACTGTAGCCAGTGTCACATGAGAGCCAGACACAGCTCCTTGGCTTTTGGCCAGTCAGCCCATGCTGCCACACCACAGTCCCACAGCCAAGGGCCTTCCCACCAGGTCCACTTTCTCAGGAGTGGACTACAGGGGAAGGGGGCCGGACCCTGGGCACAGTTCAGCAGGGAACTGTGTGCCAACTCCTGGCTTTTTTTTTTGGCACAGGCACCGACCCCCGAAATCAAAGCTGCATGGGTGAGTGAGATCCGGAAGGTGCTGACCAGCCAGCTGCAAGCCTGCCGGGGTGAGTGAGGGTACTGTGCACCATGGGGCACGCTCAAGACCCTTGGCTAGAGGGTGTAGTGCTGGGTGGCACTGTTAATGGCCCCGCCACTTCCGTTGCAGAGGCCAGCCAGCATCGGGCCCTGGAGCACTCACACAGCCTTCCGCTTCCCTCGCCGGCCAGCTCCAGGTGAGCCGCATCTGGGACCCATGGGTTGTGTGTGTGCCGGGCTCTGCTGGCACAGGGCTGCCAGTGCTGGCTGAGTTCTCCCTGTGCCCCTAGCCCGTCACCGTGGGACTCACAGATCCTCAGCACCACCCCAAGGTCCCTGGACCACTCCTGCCAACACGGGTGTGGAAAGAGCCCCAGATGGGGTGGGCAGAGAGGCATGGGGGTGGCGCACACTGGGCAATCCTGGGGACAGGCGGCCACCAGCTTAGGGGTGGCAGGGGCTGGTGCTGGGCTCTGTGGCCAGCACCCATGGGCTCAGTCCAAGTGCAGTCCCCGTTGGGGCCTCCTTCTGTCTTCTCTTCATTATTCTTTTGATTATTCCTTTCACTTCATTCTCCTGTTTCCTTGAGTTTCCTTGAGGAGCTTTTATGGGTATCAGCCCACGTGCCACGTGGAATGGCACCTCCCCGTGGGTCGCTGCTGTGTGGGCACAGCACAGCTCTGTGCTTCTCTCCTCGCCTGCCTCCTGCTGTTCCTCCCTCCCTCCCTAGGCCCTCTTCCTGTTCGTAAAAGATCTGTCTTCCTGTTTCCTGGCATCTTTTGTCTTGTTCTTTATTTCTGTCATGGGGTTTTGTATACGAAAAGCCGCGTGACACTTACGCTTGTGTCTGATTTATGTCATGTACTACTACGGCCCATTGTTCTGTGCACGACTCACGCTCAGTCTTTCACAGCACGTGGTTGTTAACTCCATTTTCTTTACCACTTGTGGAAGGGGATGGGGCCTGAGCACTGAATCACGGAGCAGCTGCTTTAAGGAGCAGTTTTCCCCGAGCTGTGCTCCTGCCACTGGGAAAGTGGCTTCCTGTCCCTCTCGGCCCTTCACCTTGACACAAAGTGTCCCCAAGGGGGAGCACAGGGCTGCTTCAGAGATGAAAAGCCAATCAGCCTTGTGCTGTTGGTTTTCTGTCACACCTGATGTCACCAGTCCCTCAAGAGGAAACACGAGAAACATCAAAAAGCTGGAGGAGAGGAAGACTGACTCCCTGAACCTGGAGGGATACGTGAGCGCCTCCCTGTCCAAACCCCCTGAGAAGGGCAAAGGTGGGTGCAGCTGTGACTGCAGGTACTGAGAGCTGAGCCCATCCCCTCCCAGATGCTGAGCCTGCGCTCACTGCCTGCTCTGCAGTGCCCATGCCCGGGGCGGGGGCCGACAGGCTCTGTCTCTGTCTCCCTCCTAGATGACTCGGTCTCTAGCTCTGCCTCTGAGAGCTCAGCGCTGTCCAGAAAGCGCTTCACCCTGCAGGGCTTTGCCAACCTCAAAGGGCAGAAAGGTAAAGCGCACAGCGCAAGGCTGTGGGCCGTCCGTGCCGACCACTGTCCATCATCCTGTGCAGCCTCCAGCCATCTCCCACCACATTCTCTTGCTGACCATGTCACAGGACACCGTGGTCATCCTTTAGGGACTCCTGTGATGGCTGCCGTGAGCGCAGGGCCTGCATAGAAACCACGCTGTGGTTGCTTTTCTGTCTGCTCCCTGCCTCCACCTTCCCTGCTTATCTCTGTTCCTTTCTCTGGACCCTCATACTCTGCCTGGTGTCTGCCAGTGAGAGGCTGGCTGAGGGAGCCCTGTGGCTGAGATGGGACCGGCATGTCACCTGGGCTGCTCCTGGTGGCCAAGGCCTGGAGCCAGCACTGGAGGGTGGGTCCTCAGGGCTCCTCCCCTGCTTCTTCCATGGTGGACCCTGGCCCGAGAACTGGGATTTTCTTTTCCCAGTTTATGAAACACTTTAAATTGGCCTCTTGAAAGAAACAAGGTACGGTGCCACCTCTGCCCTCGCTAACACAGGAGGAAGCATCCAGGGCGACCCCTGAGAGGATGACCCCTGGCCAGCACCACCGTCCATCTGCAGTCCCCACCCGTGGCCTCTCCAATCCCCAGCGACCCCATGACCATCTCACCCAAGCACCACAGCATCTCTCTGCCTCTCCTGCTCAGTCTTCTCCTCTCTCCTGTGACGCTTCTGCCTTTCCTCCTCCTGCAGCCTCTCCTACCAGTCCTGACAAAAAAGCTAAGCGGCATGAAGTAAAGAGCGACCCGACTCCCTTTGGTCTGCGAGGTAGTGTGGCCCAGCCTCCATTGCCGGCCAGGAGGTCACCTAGTTGGGATGCACACAGGGCCTCGGGCCGGGAGCAGGGCCCTTGTGGCTGCAGGCGGTGCAGGCCCCACACAGGACCAGCACATTCGCTGCATCGGCAGCTGGCCCAGGCCTCTTGGGGGACACAGCTGTAGGGCCAGACCATGCATCCTGCACGGGGAGGCCCTGGGGCCACCAGCTGCCCATATCCCAAGGCTGTGGTGAGAAGCAAGGACCAGGGTGGGCTGCACAGTGCCAACACATGTGCGCTGTAGAGTTTGCACAGGACACTGGGGCTGACCACACCCCAGCCCAGGGCTGGAGGCCACCACTCTGACAGCTCCAGGACTTTGTGCATCACACCCCTCCAGAACCTGCGCTCCCGCTGCCCTCCTGCACCCCGTCGGCACATGGACCCGAGGCCAAGTGTTGCCCTGTGCTCTCAGCCTGTGCCCCCCTGACCAAGTGCTGGGCAAAGTTGGCTCCCCAGGGGCAGCTGCCCAGAAGGGTCTGCTCTGTGCCTCAGCACCTTCTCCTCATGCCCTGGCCCTGAGCCATCCCCACATGCGGCCCTGTCGAATTGTAGGGCACAGCCTGGCCCCGCGGGGCTGACCTGGCAACTGGCCGAGTCCACATTTCTCTGCCTTGCCCCAGTGCTCAGCTTCCTCTGGGCAGGTGCCTGCTGCCCCACAGTGAGCAGAGAGAACACTCTCTGATGACACGTCCCCACTGCCCCCTGTGTCAGTCTGGGTGGACAGGAGCCTGCGTCCCCTATCTCAGGGTGTTGTACTGCAGGGATGATGAACCCATGCAGTTAGCATGTGTGTGGCCACCATCCCTGTGGGCTGCGTAGTCACAGGGTGGACAGCAGAGCTGAGCCAGCTCATCCTGCCCACATGGGGCTGCATCAGCCACTAGTTCACACACGCAGGCCCTCGTGGCCACGACACCTGTCATCTCCCCAAAACAAGGGCCCTGGGTTTCCTACCTATATGTCTCTCTGCAGGCCACGTGGCAAGCAGGGTTATGGGTCCCCTGGGCAGCCTGCTGGTTGGGCTTCTCTCTCAGTTGTGGCTTAGCATCTGTGCCGGGTTCCCTGGGCTTGCCAGCTAGGACCCACTTGGCTGATCTTGCTAACTTGCTGGCAGCACAGCATTCATAGAAAGCACCTTCCCTTTGCCTGTGTGCTGCAGGGCACAGACTAGACCATGGCACCGTGGGGACAGCGCCGGGCCGGATGGGGGCCAGCTCTCCAGGCAGGCCTGGCGCTCCCTGCCCCGGGGACTGATAGGGTGGAAGTGGGGACTCTGGGCCCCTGCCTCCCCGAGATCACCCAGTTGGGGCAGAACTGTGCACTGGCATCTTGGAAGGGTACAGAGTGCTGGGATGGAAGACTTGCTGAGGACGGGGCCACACTGCAGCTTAGGCTCGCTCTGGGACCTGGGGCCTGGCGGGCCTGCCCCCGTGACAGCTCTGTCCCTGGGGATCCCTCACTGGCACCTGTCCCTCTGCCAGGCTGGAGCAAAACATCCCAGTCCCTGGAGGCTCCCGAGGACGATGGTGGCTGGTCCAGCGCAGAGGAGCCTATCAACTCATCCGACGCTGAGGAAGATGGCGGAGTGGGCCCCAAGAAGCTGGTAACTATGCTCCACCTGGGTGACTGGGGCACTGCCCCTGGGAGGGGACGTTCCAGCAGTCCCCTTGGCCTGGGTCTCCGAGCAGATGGGTGCTGGTCTGTGGGCGGTGTCCGTGTTAGGGCCCAGCAGGTTCCCAGGGCTGGGCCCCACCCCTGGCCCCACCCCAGCAGGAAGTGCTTGCATGCTGTGCTGGGCCATACATCTCCACCTTGCCGCGTAAGGAGCTGAAAGGCCTTTCCGTAGTGCGTTTTACATGCAGACAAGGTCTCCCTTCTATCCTGGAGCATGCGGAAGCCCTTTGCCTGTGAGAGCCACTGAGGGAGGGTCCACTGACAGTTTCTGCACCCTCTGTTGAGGCCTACTGTGAGCACCAGGCTCCAGGACCAGAAACATGACCTGCTCATAAGGATAGCGTGGCAGGGGAGGTGGAGGCTGGCGGGCAGGGGCAGCAGAGGCAGGAGCGTCCCAGATGCCCTTGGCTGGGATCCGTGCAAGTCACCACCAGAGGGCCACGCTGGCCCCTTAGCTGTGTTCCCACAGCCGCACTGTGAGGCTGGAGTGCCCGTGTGGCCAGCGTCCATGGCCAGGCCCTGCCCCGGCACTGGAGCTGAGGCAGGGCAGCACAGGCACAGTCTCCTCTCACAGGGAGGCAGGCACAAAGGAGCAGTCGGTCGTAGCTCGCTAGGTCAGCGTGGCCAGCCACCAGGAGAGCAGACCATGAGAAAGAGGCCAGCGTGGAAGGGGCCTGGCACCATCCCAGCCGTGCAGCCACTAAACTACACCTGCAGTAGGGAGCGGTGCGGTGCAGGAGGGGCACACGCAGAGGGGCTGGGCCAGGCTGAAACCAGAGAGCCCGGGCGGGGCTCCTTGGGCACACAGCAGTGCTGCAGTCGGTCGTGTTGCCGTCTGCTTATTTTGTGGCGGTCATGGGCTCCAAGTCAGAGGAGGGCTTCCTAGCGCAGTCATCTCACTGCGGCCCGGCACATGGCCGCACTGCAGTCTCGAGCCCAGCGGTGTGGACATTTTCATGGCTCTGAGGCCAGTGCTCAGGGTGGGGGAGCAGGCAGCCCGCCTGGGTGCTGAGGGACAGCCACGCTGACCAGCTGACCCCTACCTTTGTCCTGCACCCTGGCTAGGTCCCTGGCAAATACACAGTTGTGATGGACGAGGAGAAGGGGGAGACCAACACCCTCAACGTGAGGAGTGGAGACGTGGTTGAGGTGGTGGAGGAGGGCGCCGAGGGGCTCTGGTAAGAGCACACAGGTGCCCACCCACCGCAGCCGTGTTCACACCTCACACACTCACACATTCCTGCCTCCCACATGCCCAAGGCGCTCAGACACTCCCACACGCGCCTTGTTACAAGCTCACGCCTGAGGCACACATCACAGTTCCCTCCCAGGCCTCTGCACACCACACTCTGCCGCACGCTCACAGTGCCACAGTGTGCTCTGCCTGCTGCAGCTGCCGACCCCTCACAGGTACATTCGGGACCTGACCAGCAGCAAGGAGGGCTGGGTGCCGGCCAGCAGCCTGTGGGTGCTCCTGGGCAAGTCCAGCTCAGCCCAGTGTCTGAGCAGCTCAGGTAAGCCCCGCGCTGTGCGCTGACCCTGCCTGCGCCCTGCCCTCGGCCCTCGGCCTACAGAAGACAGGGCGCCAGGTGTGGGAGCAAAGAGCCGGGCCCAGCCGTGTCTCCACCTGCTTCCGCAGAGTCGAGCCCGGGGTCCGCCGTGCTGAGCAACTCCTCGAGCTGCAGCGAGGGCTGCCCCATGCCCTTCGACCTCCAGGCATAGTGACCTCCAGGCATAGTGACCTCCAGGCACAGGGCCGGGCCTGGCAGGACGCCAAGGCCTGTGGGCCAGCATACGTCTCTGGGTTTTCTTTTGCTTGGGTTGCTTAGTTTGGGGAGAGGCGGCGCTGCAGGATCCAGCAAGGGAGGCCCCATCAGCTGTGGCCACAGTGGGACTTGCGGCCCTTGTCACCCACCCAGCTGTCTGCGGAGAATCCTCAGTACACAGGGCCTGGCCAAGCAGCCACCCTGCACCTGACCTCTCCGGCCCGCTTCCACAGGCACAGGTCTGGCCTCACTACCAGGCCTGTGGAGTGGCTCGGGACTCTCGTCTTTTATAAGGCTTTGATTTTTTTTAAATAGGGATAATCCCATGGCCATTTTTGGTGGTACTTTGGCCTCAGATCTTTACCAAGAATCACTGTGTTTACATGAAATGACAATTTGATACTGTATTTGATATAAAACTATTTTTTGTTACTGGGGCTTACATCGAAGCATGTTGTTTATACCACTAAATGGTTTTGGGGGCCTTTCATTCTGCACTCCCAAGGTGCTCCTGCCGAAGGTGATAGCACGTGGCACCTGGGAAAGTTGGGTGGCAGCCCTAGACTCAAAGGCAGCGAGAGACCAAGGAGGTCCTTCCACCTGCATATGTTTCACTTTCATAGGAAAACTTAAGCTCTAATTTAAAATATTAACCTTCTTTTCTACAAAAAAAAGGGGGAAATTATCAATTTTTTTAACGAGCTTCATTGAGTTAGGATATTTTTAAAGAAAAATGTTAAGATGCAGTTTCTGCAGGGTCTTTGTGGCCCGACGCCGTCAGCTGCACTCGGGATACGAGTGCTCCCTGCACCCCTGCCTGCCCTCCCAGGGTCGGGCAGGACCTCCGCGCCCACCTGTGCCCCTGCCTCCTCCTTGCAGGAAGTCCGTGTGCTGGGTGCTGGCCGGAGTTGCCAGGGCAGACGTGGGCATGGGAGGGGGCGTTTTCTTTGTCCAAGCCACAGAGAAACTAGGGTGAAGCTCTTCTCCTTGCCTCCTTTTCTGTGTGTCTCCGAAGCCGATTCTCTTCCTTTGAGCCACTTTCGGTGCCCAGCGGGGCAGACCGTTTTGTATGTGTGTATATATGTTCACGCATGTACGTATGATCTGATGTAAAGGACGTATTTATGTCTTACGCTGCTGAGCAGCGTCACTTTACGGCCTTCTCCCTGTGCCCTCACCCTGCGGCCCTGCCCACTGGCGGTCCAGGCCTCGCACGCTGCCTCCCATGGTGCAAAGCCAGGGCTGGCAGACCCAGAGAATCTCAGCCAACAGCAGACACGTGGACTCTCAGTGGCTTCTTCCAGTGGACACAGATTTGGAAAGCGATGTGGAACGTGGTTGTCCCTACCGTTGCTCAGGCAGAGCTCTTCCATCTCAGCAAGGGTCTGCCCTGCTGCGGTCTGTCTCTTCCTCCTAATGGCACTTTAAATGTCACGTTTCATTCACTGTTACTTTTTTTTTTTTTTTTTTTTTTTACTGCGGATGTAAATGGGATTTAAAAATCAAAGGTCTTTACTGTATGGATGAAGTTTGAATAAATGTCAGCGCCTCCTGCTGTCTGCCTCCCTAACAGCCGGGCTCTGGCACTGCGCCCCCATAGTTTCCATGCCTGGTAGAGGGGTACAGCCAGTCCCCAACGAGGACCCAGTTCCCTTCCGGCACCTAAGTTGTTAGAAGAACTGATCGCTAAACGAGGAGCTCTGTATAGCGTCTGCATTACAATATTCAGAACAAAGCGTCCAAGGAAACCCCAACCGAACAGCTTCGCTTTCGCCTGCAGAGCTCCCAGGGGCAGTGCCGCATGGACAGTGACATCCACGTGACAGTTCACGTGCCCTGCTGTACAGTCAGCAGAAGCCGCAGCAGCATGTAGACAAGGCATCCAGAAAGACTCGGGAAACACGATGTGCAGACCCACACATAAGAAGACGGGTCGCAAGTCCAAGCACGGGTTGTATGCCCGAAGGGCACAGCTCAGTCATAAGCCCAAACAGTCGTTACTCGGGTCATTCAATGGGGAGCGTCTGGACAAACTAAACCAGGATGGAGGCGGGGACGGGGGCTGGGGAAGGCATGGCCAGCAAGCGTTTCACACGCTGTAATTGTATCGGATGGTGGGAATGATCAACAAATACAAAGTTATACATGTCAAAAAAACAGTGTGTAGGGGAACCATTGCAGAATAATTCACTTGACAACTTCTGACCAGAAAGATGGAGAAGAAAAGCAGATTTTTTAATCTGGGAGAAGACAAAAAGGATGGAGGAAGGGAACAACTCAGATGTAATGAGGAAATGGATACAGACCTGCCTGGCCACGGCAGGGTGACTGATACGTGAAGCCATGCAGTGAGCTGACCCACGAGATGGGCACCGAAATGGTCAGCACACACCTGCAGAGGAGACCCTGAAACAAAACTAGACAAAGGATAGAAATAAAAGAAGGCAAAAAGACTGGACAAACACCAGCCAAGCAAAGGAGGCCCAGAAATACCAACAGCATAATGGTACTTAGCGTAGTTAGAGGGCAAGAGGGTCACAGCAACCACAAACTTGTAAGCAACCAATAAAAAGGTTCGCAACACAGAAGGCCAGCTTCAGCATTTGGGGCAAGATGTTTTCATTTCCCGCGGAAACTGGTACGTTTGTCCTTAAAAGTAGAAAACAATGTACCATTTTCTAGTACACATGAAACATACACAAAATGTTGACAAAATGATGAAAAGGTATTTGGGAATCTAGAAGCATCCTGGGTGAGGGTGGCAGTGCTAGTGGGGTTCTGCTCCTGGAGCTGGACAGATGTCCACCAGAGGCCACATGACACCTGCAGCTGCCACGTGGCTGAGAGTCACATTTACAGCTGACTTTGTCTAAGTTTTACAGGATCACATTAGTTAAATTCTCACCTAAGGAATCTAAGAAGAAAAACCAGTAAAACTCAAAGTGTAAAGAAATTACTAAAATTGAAAGTAAAAACAAAGTCAATCAAAAACAAAACCTTCTTCCTTATAAGATCTGGTAAAACTGGCCAACTTAGATAAAAATGAGAAACTTCACAACATATAAAAATTCTAAGTGAGAAATCCTTGGGAAATAAATCAAATAGGAAATATTTTTTTAAAAAGTCAAATTGTCAAAATTGATCTAAAACAAATAGGATACTTGGGTCAACAAATGAATGACAAAGGAATTAAATCACAGTACAATAATTTATCCCAAATATACCAGGCAGCATTATCGGAAGGAACATAAAGATAGCACCACCACCTGACCCAAAGGCTGCACAGGCGAGAAGCAGCTCGGCCGCTATGGAGGGAAGTGCTTGGCTCGGGTCCTCGTCACCCACGATCTGCCGAGAGACTTACGGTGGCTGAAGTTGCAGTCCATTGCTGGCTGGTTCCCAGGCATAAACACCATGGCAAAGGCCCCAGCTTTGGAGCGCTCCCTACACGGTGATGGTTAGGAAGCAGAGAGGAGGGAGGAGCCAGGGAGATGCACCCCTCTGGGCCACACCCCAAGCGCCGCCTCTTCCAGCCAGACTCCTTGCTAACGCAAATCAGGTGTGAGCCCCCATGACCCACCCACTTCCAAAAGGCCCCCCTATGCGTGCATGTGGCCTTTGAGGACATCTGGACATAAGTCAGCCTCGATCCACAGCCTCTGGAAGATGTGTGCACATCTCTTTACTCAAAATGCAATTAGTCTATCTCTTAGGGTCACCAAAGTCTTAGCAGTTTTAGAAGTACTGAAAAGTCCAAAGTCTCTTATAAGATTCCAAAAAAACTCATAGCTTTTTACCCTCATAAACTTTCTAAATGGGAGAAAAAGGGGGATGAAACCAGTGGAACAAAAAACCAAAACCTATCAGGGCAAACATTAAGGTGTAGCTGTGCGTTCAATATCTTGGGCAGACATCAGCTACAGAGGGCTCAGTTGGCCTCATGCCTATTCTATTGCAGTTGTAGCGCTGGTGGCTTCTCTCTCCAGGTGGGTTTGCTCCCTGTTGGTGGCTTTCCTCCACCAGTACCCCTGATTCCTCACATCTCTGACTCCCTGGGGTCTCCACTGCACTTCCTGCTTCACTCACAGTTTTACGCACTGCCCTCTGAGGAACACATGTCCTGGCCTCTCAGGCCTGCTCCTGAAGTCTGGGTAAAAGTCTCTCTCACCTCACAACCCTTGCACTCTGCATGCCTGTGAAGCCAGCACCACATGAATGACACGAAGGTCTGTAAACAGCTTCAGCAGTAGTGGGCCCCTTGTGTCATGGGTGGAGAGGCCTCTGAGTGCTTGAATAGCTGAGTACTCTGACTTCAGAGGAACCAATTCATTAGGCAGTCCATTTTGAGTAGGGTACTCAGGGGGTGTCAAAACAGTCTTTCACTTTGTGTTCTTGCTGCCTGGGAAAGATGAGGTTTTGCTGGTTCCTCATATATACTCATCTTTCCTACTGTCTTAATCCCAAGTACTTGGCTTCTTTTTAATACTAATTGTTTCAGCAGTCAAGCTATCCTGGGCCAAAACTTCCTAAGCCCTAACATTATGGGAACTTCCTTTCTGGCTTCCAGCAAAATTTTTAAAATTAGTTTGCTCTGCTTTTTGGTCTTGCTTTTCATGGTGAATATAGCTAAAAGCTGCCAGTGTATGTGCCACAACACAGGACCATCTTGAAATTTTTTCAATCAAATTAATTAGCCTACCACCCTTAATCCCTTACACAGTCTTAAGACATGAGCAAAATGTAGACAAATTTTCTGCCAGAGAACAATATACGTGGCCTGGAGTCCTGCTGGCGAAGTGCTCCTTGTTCCCCCCAGTGGAGGTCTCCCAATCTTGGTCTTTTTCACCTACATTTCTATCCAAATTCTGGCCTTTTTTCTTCTTAGTGGAATAGTCATTTTTTTTTTCATGAACGTCCTTTGTACATGCAAGCCCCCTCTGAAGTAAATGGCAAGAGTACAAGCCCCAAAAATGTGTTCTTTCAAAATATCAAATAAAGTAGTTACAGAATTAAGATTTGTAAAACAGATTTTTCTCTGTGGAAGAGCTAAAAACAATGAGTCAAGTCTGCTACAACAGCGATGCCCTTCTTTTCTACCTTGAAATGAATATATAAGAAATGTTTTGCTATGTTGGACAGTGAAGTGGACCAAGCCAGGGGAAATAATCCGTTATTGCCATAGAGCATAGAAAAGAATAAAACTGTGATGCTCAGGAGAAATCAAGTCAGTTACACAAAGTATTTCAAATATAGATTATGCATCAAGTCAAGTAGTAAATTATGTAGGCAATTGAAACCTACCACACTTTCTACAATGTCCACAATTTCACCGTAAGTACACAGATAAATATCTATTTATAAATCATATTGTATTTTGGTATAATCAGTTTCTTCAGTAAAACAACAGAACAATTCTGGAGCTAATATTTTAAAGTAATTATTAATGCGTATTTACCAGGCACCTGCTTCTTGGTGGCCGTGTATCCAGTGTAAAGCATACGAATGGTCTTCTATGATGAGGGGTGCTGTCGAAGATCTCTTCCTACAGTTTTAATAGTTTTATATTTAATAATTTATTTTTTATTAATTTTATTTTATCTGTTGAGAAACAGCAATGAGACATTTTCAAAACTAATTAGTAGGACAGTTTCAGTAATTACTACATTGCATACTGTTGTCTTCCTAGTGGTTATTCACAGTACAAGATGCAGACATGACATCCTGTCCAAACACTATTAATACAAATCTTCCTTTTCACTGAATTAAGAGAAAGTAGCTGTGCATCTATCCTAACTATTTTGCATATACAGGTACAAGATGGTCCTTCCTTTGTGTCCCCTTTTATGTTTAGTTTTGTCAGAGGCAGGTATTTCGTTAGATGGGCATTCCATTAGAGAAGGGCATCCCAGGGCTGCGAACCACACGGCCAGGAGTGTCACGGCCGCCTCACCAGACTCCGCCTCAGTTGGTTTCTCATGGCCAAGGGGCACTGCCAACACCCGCATTAAAGGGAGGAGGTGCATCCTGGCCACAGCTTCAGGCCGCTGTTGGCTGGCCCCAGGGCAGAAACAGGATGGCAGAGAGGCCTGGCACTGGAAAGCAGCGCAAAGAAGGGAGGCGTGAGAAGGAGATGCCCTGCCTGGCCGAGTCCCCACCACGCTCCACTTCTAGCTGGCTCCACCTTCCGAGAGCAAGCCAGCTCTAAGCACCATGGTCAGGTCACCTCCAAAACGCCCGCCTAGGAGCTCACGAGGCTTTGGGGAGAGACTTAGTTTTGAGCCATAGCATCGAGTTTAACCTCGGCACACCAAACTACCAAAGCTCATGGAAAAAAAATGTTTATGAAGATAAATGCAAAAAGTTCCAAAAGCCCAACTGAATGTTTCATGTAAAAGTCCTATGGGCTGGGGTGCAGCGCACTGCTAGATCCATGTGTGAGGGCCTCTGATCAATCCTGAGCAACACCAAAAAAGAAAAAAAAAAGAAGCACATTTTAATCCTTTTTCCCAGTGTTGAGAGGGCGGCACACTAGCAGAAACATGCTGCTATGATTCGCTAGCAAGCTAGCCAAAGTGAATTGCCAGTCCTGCAGATCAGAAACAGTAATTCATTTTTCCCTGATCCATCATTGATAACGTCTAGCAAGGGGCAGAACACTTTCCTAACCTAATGAAGTATAGCTAAAAAAAATCCTAACAGCAAAAATCGCAGGTATTGCAATACTTGGAACTATCCCCAGGCGTGCAGAATGCAGAGCTGCCTGCCACCACTCAAAATTGTTTATTGGGATTGCTAGCAACTTCCCTGAAGAAAAAGAAAAGAAGCACGTGGTCTGGGGGGCTTACAGGGTGTTGGAACTGAGCAGGGCTCAGGAGCAACCCCAGAGAGTCCCTAACACACCTGGCCACAGCCAGCTTTCAATACTGAGGCAGTAGCAGCACTGAAGTGATCAAACTGAAATAAGCAATGTTTTTTGGACAAACGTATGGAATATTAGCAGTCACAAAAGAGGGCCTAAATAAATGGGGCAGGATACATAGCTGGAGCAATTAGACACCAGCCAACTCCTTTCTCCCCTCCAGCTCTTCCATAAATTAGATCTGATTTAGCTTAAATCCCAGTGGAGTTTTGGTTTTTGGTGTTTTTGCAGTATCAAGGATTGAACTCTGGACCCTGTGCTTGCCAGGCAGGTGCTTGTGCTGCTGACCTGTCTTCTGGGCCCCAACAGAATTTTCATGGAGTTAGAAAATACAGGCCTAAGCACAGCATGATGATTCTGTGAAGGAAGGGTCTTGTCTGGCTGGCTGTGTCACAGAGCACAGAGCTGCTGTCAGGACGTGCAGACAGCCAGCGGGGAGAAGCCCTGACCTGTGGCTGGGCCAGAGAGAAGGGATGGCACGGGGATGGTGGCTGCCAGCTCAGCTGGGACAGGTCCGCTGTAGGATCCCAGGAAGCCACACCTCCTGCAGTGCCAGCTCTGCAGCCAGGTGTCCCTGGGCCTCCACCCACCTCCGCCAGCGCTTGGTCCCTGCAGGCTGTGGGGTCCCGCTGCTGCCTGTCTCCCAACCTTGTCTCTGTCTACTGAATGCCAGGCATGTGGGGGCCTGTGCTGCGCATGTCTCCATGTGCCCTCTTCTGAAAAGTACCCTCCCTTTACCCACACAGTCTCCTCCTTCCTGCCTGTCAGGCCTGGTGCTAGACCCCGGGGCTGGCCTCGGAGTGGTCAGGCACAGCTCTCAGCCAGTGTCCTATGCTTGCACCCTGCTCGGCCCACCCCTCTTGCCCTTTGCCCGCCTGCCCAGTCGGACATGCTCGGCCAGGACAGCGGACTCCCCATGGCTTTCCCGGGCTGCAGGCTCACCCTGCTGTGCTTTCTGCTGCTGCTCCCAGGGTCCCTGTCTGCAGGTAAGCCTTCCAGGAGTGCCCTGTCGCTCTGGCCACAGCAGGCTCCACAGTGGCCCAGGGCCCCCCACACTCTTATTCCCAGCATTTCTGTCACAGAGAGCTTTTGCTGGCCACTGGCTTTGATGTTTGTTCCTTCCAAAACAAATATTGTCCAGGAGCTTGCGTGTGCCCACTCATGGGCACACAGGCACACATGGATGCAGAAACCTGTACACACAGCCACACGTGCTCACACAGAGACAGGAACATACCAGTGTGTGCACATGGACACAGAGCAAGCACAGGCCCTGCCACACACATTCAGATGCATGTCCACATGCCACAGTGAGCAGCTGCTCGCACACAGACACAAGGACAATCTCACGTGTGAGCGCTTGAGGTGCTGGGAGGCTCCCCCTGGTACCCCTCTATGGTGCGGGAGACTCTGGAAGTGGCTCAGAGCGGAGCTTCCAAAGCCTGTGGCAGGCACACCAGTCAGCCCTTGGTACACTGGCTGAGGCTGTGACCTCAGAGAAAACCAGGACTTGTGCTGAAAGCTAGGAGCCTCGCTGGAACCGGAGAGCATGGGGTGGCAGTGGCTAAAGGCCACTTCCCACACAGCTGCCTCATGTCCAGTCCCACAGCTCAGCTGTCACGGAGGGCTCTCGTGGTCACCACCTCTGTCTCCATCTCCACGCTCTCCCATAGACACTGCATGTGTCTTCTGGGGCATCTTTCCTGGAGAATCCACAAGCTCAGGGGTTCAGACGCTGGGGTCCTGCCACCCTAGGTGGCCAGGGGTGAGCTTTCAGGGACACTGGCCTTACTTCCCTCCTTGGCAGGATGGGGACCTGGCTCACCCGCTCCTGGCTGTGAGCCTCACTGTGGGAGCTAAGGGAGGGGGCTGGAGGTGGAGTGGGCGCCCAGAGCTAACAAGGACACCCCAACTCTCGGGAAGCTGGAGGGAGCTGGTTCCCCAGGGCCGGAGACTGGGTGGGTGGAGGCAAGGAGTTCAGACTTCATGCAGTGTCTGTGTAGCACCTGTTTCTATCCGCTCATACATCCTGTGCCCAAGAAAGGGAGTGTGCGATAGTTCTTTTTTTATCATCACGTTTTTGCTCAGTGTCATACCTTCTTTTGGGGCAGGGGTTGAGACAGGACCTCGCGCTGAAGTTCGGGCTGGGCCTGATCTCACGGCAGTCCTGTCTCGCCCCCTGGTGCCAGGACCACTGGGCGGCGGCGCTGCTCGGAGCACGTGTTCCTGAACCTCAGTCCATGGCAGCCTGCGTGCCAGTAATCGGTCGTTTGTAGCCAGCATTGCCAGTTACTCCACGGGACTCTGTACATGACTCTGAGTATTTCTTATGCTAAATCCCCCAAGGTGAGGCTTAGCAGGTCAGAAACTGGCTGTGCGCTTGTACCTTGGGCTGTACTCTGTCACCTGTCACGCCACCTGTGAGAAGCACATCCTATTTCTGATGCAGCCAGGTGCCTCTTCTAGAGCCCCCAGCCCACAGGGCAGGGCGGGTGCTGGCAAACCGCCTGTGCCCTCCCGTCCCAGCATACCCGGCGGCATAGACCAGTGTGCGTAGGTCACTCAGTCAGAGTGGGCCCACCTCGTAGGAGCTTCCAGGAGAAGCTGGAGTGGCTGGCTCCCTGGATGATCCAGGGCTGTGGCTTCCTTCCCTGAGGGGGACAGGATGGGGCGGGTGGCTCCGTACCAGCTGGCTGCCAGTGTCTCCCGAGGTCTTCTGTCTGCCAGTCTTCATAAGCCAGGAGGAAGCACGCGGGGTCCTGCACAGGCAGAGGCGTGCCAATGCCTTCCTGGAGGAGCTGTGGCCCGGCTCCCTGGAGCGGGAGTGCATGGAGGAGCGCTGCTCATTTGAGGAGGCCCGGGAGGTCCTCAGGACCCCTGAGAAGACGGTGAGTGCTGCCCAGATGTGGGCTTGCAGGCGCGCTGGGGCTACGTTGTCTCGCTTCTGTGGTCGTGAGCACTCAGTGTGAGCAGATGCAGCTGTCATGTCCCAGGGTGGCAAGGAATGAAGCCGTGGACCAAAGAGGTAGAATGAGGGCAAGGAAGGAAAGGTCCCAGCGCCAGAAGAGTGCTCTGGTCGGGCCCCCACAAGCCTAGGGTTTCTAAGGGCTTACGTGAGCTTGGGCCCTTGTGCAAGCAATGTGGGCTGCAGGAGGAAACACACTTTGCAGGTCTGATCTCTGCAATGGTTACAGTGTCCTGCAAGGTCCCCAGGCCTTGGGCCAGCAGCCCCCTTGGCCACGCTCTGGGGACATCCCACACAGCCCAAGGACACTCAGCAAATGTTCTGTAAGGACCCTGGATGGTCATGACTCAGCATGCTCCATTTGGGGGCTGCTGTCCTTACTTCTTATTAGAACCCTAACTCCTGCCTCACTAATTGCTGCTTCATGCAGACAGGGAGACACATAGCAGCCTCGCAGCCGGGCTTGCTTTCACCCCTCAGGATGGTTTCGTTACCTCCTCTCCCAGGCTGCCATGTCTGGGGACGCCCGCCAAGCACACACCGCACCTACTCTGCCATACCACTTACATTCATTTTTACTTCAGAAAGCATAACTCAAAATTCCACTTAACGAGGAAAGCCCCTCAGACCATAAGGATCCAGAGCAGCCCAGCCGGCAGAGTGCTGCGCAGGAAAAGGCTGCGTGGAGGAACCGCCCACGGGCACCCTCAGGGCCCAAGTGTGAGGAGTCGGCCAACCGAACCACGGCTTCCTCAACCACAGCAGGCCTGTGGACAAGGCTGTCTTTGTTTCTGGTTTCCCTTTTGGAGGGATAAATAGTCAAGCATCCTTGAGTAGTTTCTGCCCTTCTGTTTAACCGTGTCCACCACAAGTGTGGCTTGGTGTACAGTAAGGAGACGGATTTGGGGTTGCAACAATTCCGGCATCTTTCACAAACCTCTCAAAGACAGGAGCCATTGCAGCCCCCTGGTGAGTGGGAGGGATTTTCTGTGGCCATGGCTCCCTATCCCTTCCTCATGAGCTTATTGTCACCAGCTCCGACTCATATCACACCTCACTGGCAGCAAACCTTGCACTCCAGAAAGGTCTCAGCTCACAGGAAGCTGTCACACCTGCAAGGGCTGATGGGTGGGGTGGGGCTGCATCTGTGAGGCACTGCGCAACTGCAAGGGCTGCAGCTCTTTAGGGCGCAGCAAGGTGGGGAGGGGTGATGGGGTATTTATGGACGGGGTGTGGGGGGCGGTAGGGGACAGGAGCCCTGGGCAGCAGGTGTGACAGGGACACCTCACACTCACTCACTGGATGCCTCACCTCACCTCATGCTCACCAGGAGGTGGGCTGTTGAGTTAGATGTGAGCAAGACACTCCAGGCCAACTGAGGGCGCTGTACGTTCTTTCTTACACCATTTGGTGTCAAGAGCGTTTCCAACATCCTGCCTGTTTTATTCTCACATCAGCCTGTGAGTGAACTCCTAGTTGGACAGAAGTTCCCTCAGGAGTCCATTTCATCTGCAGTTGATAGGTACTTTCGTGGCTGTCCCACCCCATCTCCTGCCAGCCCCGCATGTGGGCACAGTCACCAGTTAGAGATAGAGGCCCCAGCACATGGGTCTTGTCCCAGGTCACAGATGGAGGAGGCAGAGTTGGGAGCTGACCTGAGGAAATTCGTGGCCTCTGGTGGCCTCAGTCCTGAGGAGGGACTCTCCCGGGAAACCTGATTCCTGAGCCCATGGGGAAGGGCCCAGGCCAGGCCTCTCACCCCCAGCAGCGAGCGCCTCTGTGCATCTGTCACTGTGGCTTTAGTGAATATGTCTCACGTGGCTTCTTCCTTCCCCTCAGAACCAGTTCTGGGTCACATACACTGGTGAGTAGACGCAGGGCTGTTCGGGGTTCCCCAGCCCTTCTCTGGCACACTCACACCAGCTCACCCTCAGATGGGGACCAGTGTGCCTCAAATCCTTGCCAGAATGGGGGCACCTGCCAGGACCACCACCAGCTGTACATCTGCTTCTGCCTCCTGGGCTTCAGTGGCCGGAACTGTGAGACAAGTGAGTCCGCCTCCTGCCCACGGCTGCAGGCGGGATGGAGATGCTTGCTTCGGCCCTTCTCAGTACCCACTTCCTGTCCACAGACAGGAGCACCCAGCTGATCTGTGACAATGAGAACGGCGGCTGCCAGCAGTACTGCACTGACCGTGCAGGGGACACGCGTGTCTGCAGGTGCCACAAGGGGTACACGCTGCAGCCAGACAGGGTATCCTGCATGCCCACAGGTACCAGCCCTCGGGGCTACTGTCTCATGAGCCCAGTGGCTGCCACTCCCCTGTCCACTACACCTCACTGTGTCAGTAACACCAGAGGGCAGGGCTGGCCACCAACTGAGCACTGTGACTAAAGGTAAGAAGACCATGGAGGGGAGGGCTGCCTGCCCAGAGTCAGCACCCAGAACAGGCGCCTGGCAGAGCTCCTGCATCCCAGGCAGCCAGGGAGCATGGCGAGGCTCCTGGGCACCCCAGTTCCCACACAGTGCTTCAGAAAACTACAGGCCTCCTGCATGTCAACCTCAGACGATGGCACTGTGATGCCCAAGGCAAGGAGGCTGTGCCTAGCCTGGCCAGAAAGCCAGGCGCTCGGCCGGCCACCCAGTGCACAGGCAGACACAGGACTGGGAGCCCAGAGAGCACAGCAGTTGTGGTCATCTGGTCTCCAATAGAGCACTGCTCCCTCGCACCTTCCTCCTGGAAAACCAGCAGACGCAGCACCAGCGCAGAGCTCTGGGCCCTCTTTACCAGCCCTCTGGGCTCCTGGGCCAGCAGCACCCACCCAGACCTTCGGGTGGCCCTGCCCCCGCAGCCCAGCTCAGAGGGCAGGCATGGTCCTGCATCCACAAGTCTAAGCAGACTGGCCTCAGGGCCCTAGGCGTCACCCCTCATCAACATCCCTCTCACTGGGTTCTGTTGTACAGTTGAATATCCATGTGGGAAAATACCACTTCTGGAAAAAAGAAAGAACAGCAGCATCCAAGGACGGATTGTGGGAGGCCGGGAGTGCCCCAAAGGGGAGTGTCCGTGGCAGGTAAGGCCGCCTTCCCTAGACTGCCCCAAGCACTCCAGGGTCTCCAGCTGCATTCTGGCACAGGATTCTGGCTGTAGGCTTGGCCAGGAGCTCAGGGACTCTAAGGGACCAGAGATGCGGCCATGGTGCCTGGCCCAGAAGAGTCCAGTGGACTCAAGTTCCAGGCAGGAATCACATCAGCCAGCTGTGTTTGCAGCCCAGGCAGGAGGCCACATGACTGGCTTCTGTGTCCCTACACAGGCCATGCTGGTGTCTAACGGGGCTCTGCTCTGCGGGGGCTCCCTGCTGGAGGACAGCTGGGTTGTGTCTGCTGCCCACTGCTTCGACAAGCTGCCCAGCTTGAGGAATCTGTCAGTGGTGCTGGGTAGGTGCCACTGTGTCCCGCAGGGGGCAGGCCTGAGTGACCATGGCCAGGCCAGGGGCAAGGCTCCAGGTGATGTGGCCCCCAGCATCCCTTGGTGGATGGGGCAGCACAGGGACCACCTGCCTCAGCCACCATGGGAGCAGGGGACCCAAAGCCCCAGGGAGGCACATGGGGCCCTCTGCCCCGAGAAGACCCAGGAGATAGCTGCAGCTCCCTGGCACACATCTGGGGAGTCCAGACCGCCTCTCCTGCCACAATTGCTGCCCAGGGCTCCCGCCCCCTTACCACCCCCACACCCAGTCCACAAGTACCCCTCCATGCCCCCCAAAAGCGGCAGCCCCAGCAGTTCTGTGGTGCCTCCTAGACACAGCCCCCACCCCATCTGTCAGCTTGCCCAGGCCAGGGTGTGGGGAGGCAGGCTCTGGAAGGGGCGTGGCTGACTGGTGGCTTCCACCCAGGTGAGCATGACTTCAGTGAGGTTGATGGGACTGAGCAGGTGCGAAAGGTGGCTCAGGTCATCTTCCCAGATGCATACGTCCGAGGCCAGATCGACCACGACATTGTGCTGCTGCGGCTGCAGCAGCCCGTGAACCTCACGGACTCTGTGGTGCCCCTCTGCCTGCCTGACACGAGCTTCGCTAAGGGCACACTGAGCAAGATCCGCTTCTCCCGCGTCAGCGGCTGGGGCCAGCTGCTGGACCGCGGCGCCAAGGCCCTGGAGCTCATGGCCATCGATGTGCCGCGGCTAATGAACCAGGACTGCCTGGAGCAGGCTCAGTGGAGGAACACCTCGCCGATGATCACCAAAAACATGTTCTGTGCTGGCTACCTAGACGGCAGCAAGGACGCCTGCAAAGGGGACAGTGGGGGCCCGCACGCCACACAGTTCCGTGGCACGTGGTACCTGACGGGCGTGGTGAGCTGGGGTGAAGGCTGTGCAGCCGTGGGCCAGCCGGGCATCTACACCAGGGTGGCCCAGTACACCGAGTGGCTGCGCAAGCTCATGCACTCCCGGCCGGGGGGAAGCATCCTGCGGGCCCCGCTGCTCTAGCCCCGTGCAGGTCCCTTTTGCTCCTGTGGCCGGGGCGGAGACCTGGGGCACTGAGAGCAGCCAAGAAGAACGGAGGCAAAACTGGAGGGAAAGACTCAGACTCCGGAGATTAACACGGAGACCGAGAGAGGGGCTGAAGGGGAGCCCCAGGAGGCCGGGGCCATTCGGGGCATGAACACACACCCACACACATACGCATGCATGCACACACATGCGCGAGCCTGGGAGGCTGTCACCCCACTTCCCTCATTCCTTCCTGTGCTCACCTCGCCCTCAGCTCCATTAAACGGGAAATGTTATCCATGAGTCAGGAACATCCTCCTCCTGGCCCTCTGAGTGCCTGACAGTGAACGGCTCAGTCTGTGTACCCAGGGCTGCCCACTGTCCGGTGGGCGGCCTGTGACTCGCCGAGGGAACTGTGCTGACGGATACCCCTAGACAGGCACTTCGGGAGCACAGGAGCTCTGTGATAGTGAGCTGTGAGGTGGATCCCACCACGCCCTTCCCACGGAGTTTCTGAGGGACCCGGGGAGCGTCTGCTTGTGAAGCACTATAGGGCGTGAACCAGGTGTGGTGACACATAATTGCAGCACTCTGGGGGGCTGAGGCAGGCAGATCCAGCCCAGCCTCAGCAACTCAGTCAGACCTTGTCTCAAAAAAGGGGAGGGGGGCTAAGGATACAGTTCAGCATAGAGGCCTTGAGTTCAATTCCAATCACACACACACACTCACACACGCATGCACGCACACACGCATGCACTCTCCTGGGTCTTGCCCAACACCTGGATCAGGTAGGGAAGATCTAGTGAGCCCACTCTTGCCATGTCTGCAGGCCACTGAGCCTATGGCCACCAGACAACGTAGATAGGGGAGGGCCAGAGGGCTGGAGCAGGTTCATCAGGAGGCCCGGGCAGGCAGACCCAGAGCACCTGCCCTCAGCACCATCTCCACAGGGCGTCTCAGAGCCAGGGGTACTGACACATAGTGGGGTGCCAGCCACTCTGGTGACATCTGGCGCCTCTTGCTGTAGAGGAGGCCAGAGGCTGCAAGCTGTGGCCACACCCCATGTGCAGCTTCCCAGTTAGTACTCAAGGTTTGGCTGCGTCTGCCCTCGGTTAAGTAGTCCAGGGGTGGATAAGGCAGGATCCACTAGCCACAGAGGCCATGTGATGACCGAAGCCTGGTGAGCATGGAGTCACTGCACGGAGGGTCCCTGGGACCTCACTCCTAAAAGCCTCCCAGGCCAGGCCTGCCCAGATCATTGTGCCTCTGGTTCCTCATGTCCCACCTGTCCTGAAGATGGAGTGATAGGGGGGTGTCTAGGGCAGGGCTCCCAGCCAGCTGGCATCTGCAGGAAACCCTGGGCCTCCTTGGAGGTAGAGCAAGAGAAGCTGCAGACCCCAGACCAGAACCCATTAGCTGGAGAAGACATGGGGCAGGTTGGTGGCGCCATGAAGAGCACTGACCTGCCTCAGTTTCCCCAGTCCCCGATGGGGGTGCAGGCACCTGCCTCACAGGGCTGAGGGCAGATGGTGCCAACTTCAGTGATAATGTGCTCACTGTGGGTCAGTGCCACCTGGGCACTGGGCCAGGAGATGAGGGCAGAGGGCCACAGAGCCAGTGTCACCACCCCATGTTGGGCTGGCCTGTGTATTCCCCCAAAGCCACACAGACTCAGTCTCTGCACACAGACCAGGCCCAGCACTCCTCCAGGGCCAGGGGCTGACTCTGCCCACTGTGAGACACCAGCCCTGACATCTCACTGTTGTATTGATGGGACAAGCTGTGCCAGGTGCCCCTCAGGCCAGTGATGGCCGGACACCTCCACGATGACAGATAACCAGTCCAACCTTATGCAGGGCAGTGGCTGGTGCTGAGAGGTTGGGGGAACCAGGTACTTTGCCCTGGAAACAGATGCAGACCCAGGGCATCTGTGGGCGCAGCTTCTGATGAGGACCAGGTCAGCTGTGGCCCCTGCCCACCATCATGCTGCTGGAGAAGTGGGACGATGACCAGTCCCACTGAAGCCAGAGACCCGGAGTGGGCCCCAGCCGCGCGTCCTGGAGACTCATCCATGACCATGACACACTCTGGGACCTGCATCCTCCAGCTGCCGGCACACATGCTTGTGGCCCTGACAGACGCAATTGCTTGGTTTCCCCATCACAGACCCTTCCCACTCTCCACCTCCAGGGCCAGCCTTGGCAGAACCTAGCTCTGCAGCATTCACAGACAGAACCAGATGGGAGATGAACAGGCCCCACGCAGGCAGTCACATCTGAGGATGGGTCCAGGGCTCCCCAAGACCTGTCCTTCCATCATTAAGCAGGATGTGATGTCCCTGTGTCACTTATTCACCCTGGACCGCTCAGTCTGCTGACACAAGGGACTAGCAGCCCAAGTTGGCACCTGGCCCACACCGCCCCCCCCCAAGGATCTGCCAGCCAGGACTGTGGGTTGAGACTGTGCCAGCCTCAGGGCCCCACAAGCCAGCTCTGTGTGTGAAGACTGATGGGAAACTGCTTTCCCCACAGCTGTCAGACTGAGGGAAGCCAGACGCAAACATCTGAGAGCTGTGGGGCAAGCCTGCGATGACACTGTTACTCTCACAGGACAACCCACATGCCTGCAGCAGACCCTGAAGGCCAGTTTTAATGGGGATGAGGTCAGCGGCCGCTGCCCCCGCCACCCACTCTGCCACCATCTCCAGACCCCTGCGCTGACCTCAAGGCAGCCCAGGCTCCAATCAGGAGGCTGAGATAAGCAGGACAATGGCCACCAGGGGCCCTGGCGAGTGGACCTTGCCCCCGCACGCCGGCACTCAGGACACAGCGCTGCCCTCACCGCCATGGAGGGTCTACTGCGTCTCACCCTGCTCCTCAGTGCCCTGGCCGGCCTCCTGCTGCCCGAGGGGAGCGGTGAGTGCCCTGCCCTTCACACAAGGGGGCCAGGAGGAGGGGCAAGGGTGGCAGAGGCCCTGGTCTGGGTCACAGGCTGGTGCCAGATGGTCTGGCTGGGCCTCCCCACCAAGGGGACAGCAAGGGTCAGTGCAACTCCACAGGGAAAGCAGGACGGGTGGATCCAAGTCACAAGGAGGCAACAGCAGAAGACAGAGGCAGGAGGACGAGACGGGAACCAAGCTGGGGGAGATGGGCAATGACCAAGAGAGGCAGAGACGGGCTCAGGGGGCAGCACTGGAGCCTGTGTGGCAGCCCAAGCCAGCTCAGCCAGGGCAGGGGCATGCAGCGCAGGTGCAGACAGATGGGGCCTCCGGCTGCTGAGACCCAAGGCTGCACCAAGGAGTTATGAGCTCCGAGCAGGCACCGCCCGGGCAGCGTACTCTGTGCTGTCCCAAATGGACTTAGATCCACTGAGTTTCCTTCCCATGGACTGGGCCCGGCCGGCAAACTGCCTCAGCAGGTACCACCTGTCTGATCACGTGCCCACCCCCACGCCAGGCAGACAGCCGCATGTCTGAGCACGGCAGCATCCTCTCACACCTTCGTGGGATACTCAGGGAACACCTGGGAGCCCCACACCGAGCGTCAGGGCTCTGCCTCTGCCGTCAACTCCTGAAGCCATTGTGTCACCCTAGGGCCTGCTTTCATGCCCAACAGCCACCCTTGCTTCCACTCAAGCAGAAAGCCTGGCTTGTGGGCCAGAGCTGACCTGTTGACTGATCGAGGCGTGCCTATGACTATAGAGCTGCTAAGAGTGCCCAGAGTTGGGCCCAGTCCTGAGCCTGAGGCCAACCTGCCTGCCCAGGCCTCAACTCAGTGGCAGGTGGGCCAGGCTGGAGAGAGACAGTGCAGGGACTATTGAAGGAGGAGATCCAAGAGACCCGGCCTGGGGCCAGACTGTGGGTTCTCATCCAGAGCTGGGGGTGGCTCTCGGTGCCCTTAGGCCTTATCCTTTTCCATGCCCCTTACGTGTGTCCTTGTCCCTACTGAGTCCAGCAGAGGTGGACTTGCAGAAACGCTGAACCTCCACCAGGTGGGAAGAGGCTAAGCAGGCTGTGGGGTGTAGGCAGGATGAGGCATGAATTTGGGGGCGGTCAGGGAGGAAAAGGGAGGGCCTGGAAAGCCTCAGGGGCTCAGAGGAGGAGCGCCTGCGGGACCCCGCCTCACCACAGCTTGGCAGTAGAGGAAAGGCAACTCGTCCTCTAGGCTGCGAGACGACTGAGGGAGTGGGTTCAGGGCTGGGCAGTGCGTGGCCTGGGCCTTCCAGCCCCACAGCGCTGCTTCACCACTCACAAGCGTCACAAAATCGCTGTCTTTTTCAGTGAAAGAGGATAAAATCCATAAAGTCAAAATAGTAAAGTTTGCAGTTTTGTAGAAAACAAGGGCAATTTCTTGAAACATCTAATACTGTGTGTGTGGAGCTCGATCTAAATTGCAGTTTACTCTTCCTCGCGGGGTGCGGGGTGGGGGGTGCTGAGCGGGGAGGGCTCGGTGAGCGGCTGGGGAGCCCCGGGCCTGGGTGCGGGGGCGAGGACCCGCAGGGGTGAAGCCCGCACCTGCGCGCTGGACCTCCCGGGGGCGCCCTTCCCGCCCCCAGTGTTCATGGGCCGCGAGCCAGCGCACAGCGTCCTGAGGACCCGCCGGGCCAACAGCGTCTTCGAGGAGCTGAAGAAAGGCAACCTCGAGAGGGAGTGTCTGGAGGAGGCCTGCTCTCGCGAGGAGGCGCGGGAGGTCTTCGAGGATGACGAGAAGACGGTGAGCTGCGGGGTGCGGGGTGCGGGGTGCGGGGTGCGGGGTGCGGGGTGCGGGGGCACGACAGCGGCTGTCATCCGGTCCCGCACCGTGTGCCCGAGGGCGAGCACGGGAAGGGACGCCCGGATCACGGAGTGATGCGCTCATCCGCTGGAAGCGCTCATGGTGTCTTGGAACACACGGGCCCGGGGCTTCCCTCCCCGCCGTCTTCGCCAGCTGCCCGGGGGCGCGGCGGCAGGCCGAGAACGCAGTGCGCAGGCGCAGCTGCTTGGAGGCAGAGGCCGGTGGGGTGGAGCCCAAAGTCGTAGGAAATTCGTAGCACGCGAATAGAAAGCCTTCAAGCCAGGACTCAGTAGACGCGGAGACGCCAGGACGGGTGCTGCTGCAGCGGGTGGTCACCGAGGTCAGCCGCAGAGCCCACGCGGGCTCCGCACCAGGCAGCTTCTGGGGACAGCTGTGACGCTCGCGCATCCCCCGTGAGCGCTGCCACCAGTAGTCTGGAGCCACCCGAGCAGGATGACCTGGAAGGGCCTTCCCTGTGTAAGCACTGGGGACAAATTGTAAATTACCTCCAGATAAGGGAACTGTGGCAAGGACTTACCCCTGTCAGATACCAAACTGCAACAGGAAGACACGACTGGATTCAGTCCTGAACTTCAGCCACACGGATGCTAAGTACCATCATGGAAGGTGCTTGGCCTTGGTCCTGAAGGATTTGCTTCTGAGGAAGAAAACTATCCATACTAAGATCGTCACATGTGTAAAAAGTTTCTTAGATGAGTGCAGATTTCTAGACACCAAAACATGGAACATCACCCTTGGGAACAGCTGAGGCAAACCTTTCATCTCCTGTCATGGTGACCTGGCCATGATCTTAGATAGGAAAAGTTTTCCAGAGCTCTACCCTAAGGTGCTGCCACTGGATTTATAAAACTGGATTCCAGTTCTGGAATGAGAATGGATCAGACTCCACCTAACTCACCACTGTCCAGTTCTCCTTGGCCATCCAGACTGTTACAAGCTCATGGAAAACTCTGTAAGGGATAATGAAACATTCCACAGCTGGTGTCTTATTTATCTCTCTCCTTCCTGAGGCAAAATACCCAACAGCCAAAGTTACAGGAGGCAGAGTTTATCTAGCTCGGCTTGTACAGGTTTCAGCCCATCTTGGGCTGGCCCAAAGCAGGTAGTAGAAGAGAAACAGTTTATTGTGGGCAGAAGATAGCAAAACAAGCAAGGGACCCTGCCACACCTTTCTGCCTTTTGTGCTATCCAGGCTATACAGCAGGTGGCCCTCACACCCGTAATCCTAGTGCCCTTGACCCTGGTGTTCCACATGCAACATCCAGCCACCTCAAAACCCCCACCTACAATCGCATGCGGCTTTGGGGACATCCGGAGATAGCCCTCGCAAGGTCATATGCCCTCCTGAAGGAAAACCTGTCAAAGGCAACTGCATCCCTCATTTGTACAGAATCAGCACAGTGGAAGAGCTCAAGAAAGCCCCAGAACCCGTGGTGCCCCAAACTAACCTCTTAGGCACTAAAGAAACAAAACTCTTGGTGATGTCTGATATCATGAAGGAGGTGGACTGTGTCTAAACTGAACACTGGCAGATTTTTGAAAAACAAGCTAAAATGAGGTCATATTCATAGATGAAAAACCGCTCTCCTCCATCATGTAGCTTGGGCATCTGGAGGCCACACAGGCTGAAAGTCCTTCTTCCAGTATTGGTCTGTGGCCTGTTAGGATCCAGGCTGCTCAGCAGGGGGCGGCAAGGGCAAACAAAGCTTGATTTGTATTTACAGCTTCTCTAAACTCCACCTCTTAGTCAGATTGCAAGTAGTGAGTGCATCAGATTCTCCTAAGATTGCAAACCTCATTGTGAACTGCTTGTGTGAGAGATCAGGCTTGCTCCTTATGAGAATCTAATCTAATAGTAGTAGAAGGGCTGAGGATATAGCTCAATGGTGCTGTGCCTGCCTGGCAAGCATAAGGTGCTGAGTTCGAGTCCCAGCACAAAGTAATTGATGATGATGATGATAATGATAGCAGAAATACCATGCGTGATGTAATAATAAAAAAGTGGACAATAAATATAATGCCCTTGAATCATCCTAAAGACATCCTTCTCCCCAACCGCATCTGTGGAAAAATTATCTTCCATGAAACTTTCATGGGACTCAGACATCTTTGCATTTATGTGAAAGACTACAGACTTCATGTAGGTATTACTGCCCATTTGACTGCCACAGTTCAGTCCGGCCAGCAGGAGAGAGAAAAGGAATCAAGATAGACCATATCCGATGTCATAAAGTAACCCCAGCTCTCAGGATCCCTATGAGTTTAAGACCAACCTGGGCTATAAAGTGAGTTCAAGGCCAGCCTGAATTGCATAGTGAGACTTGGTCTCGGAAAAGACTGGAAAAGAAAAAGGTTGGCCTCATCTAAAATATGTTCTTTGACCATACAGAATTTAGCCGAAAATCACTGGGGATTTGATAATTAACACATTTGTAAATAATCGAGAGGTCAAGTAGGAATTTCCAGGTGACATGAGAAAACGTGTTAGCTGACAGAAGCAGAGTGCGCAGCGGCCGGCGTGGCTTCCTGACTGGCTGGGGCACACACGTCTGCGCATGTGTGGGAGTTGGCATCATGCACCAGAAATCAGTCTCACTAAGGACACTGCATGCATTTTTAGGGCCTTCATTTAAAGGAATGGGGACCTGCACTCCCATGGGTTTGGAGACAGCTCAAGCTTCGGTGGCTTGGCTCCCCAAGGGGCCCAGGGTGTCCTTCACGCTCAGTACCACTGCTGTCTTCACTCCCACGTGGCCTCCTGTCGCCTTGGGCCCCAGGTCCCCTGCCCCCTCTCAGGAAACACGCACGTCTTAGGGCTCAGGAGACCCAGTGAACCCCAGTGGACCCTTACCTTGGTCTCATCTGCCCAACCCTGCTTCTCATTAAGGCCGTGTTCCGAGGCTCTTTGCCCTGAACCAGGGAAGGAGGTGGCACTGGGAAGGAGCCACAGCCAGTCAGAAATGTAGCTAAGACCATGACAGTTCTTCAGTGCCATGTAGGCTGGCAGTAAGCGGTTCCAGACAGCGGGATGGCTGTCACAGGCACAGCACCCTTCACTAGGCCCTTCCCTGAGCACGGTGACCACAAGCACGCCTTAATAATGGGGGAGCAGTGAGCAGCAGCTGTTTTGTGTAGCCTGCCTCAGTGATTTACTGGAAAACCTCGTTTCAGGACTTAGCATTTGAGAAGCAAAGCCTGCCTTCCACACACAGAAGATCCGCTAGCCCTCCCCTGAGATGGAGCCCTTGTGGAGCAGTGTGTTCCTCGGTCGAGGCACTGGGTGTAATTCTGTTGGTGTCCGAGTTCTCTAATGTACTTTAAGTGTTTCTTTTTTCTTTTAGAATGAATTCTGGAACAAATACAAAGGTAAGATGGCTTCTCATTTAAGTGTAATGTGGTCACTAGGATAGTTAAACTAAAAAAGACTAAATTTTTAAAACATTCCCTGAATTTCCTTCCCAGTTCTGTCTAAACCTAAGTGCATTTAAGGCTTTTCCCCTCTGTGTATTTTACAGCAGTTGTTTAAGGTAGTTTTTGTAGTAGTGTTGTACTCATTCTAGTTTTTGCCCTTTTGTTTCTTGAGATTGGGCCTTACTACATCACTCAGGCTGGCCTCAAACAGCAGGGCCCAAGCAACCCTGCCTCAGCCACCACATACGGATTTAACTCAGTTCACTCTCAATTGAGGATACCAAATTCTGTGATAATTTTTTAAAATGTAAGTGCATCAAGTAAAAGCGAGAGAGAGAGAGAGAGAGAGAGAGAGAGAGAGAGAGAGAGAGAGAGAAAGACTTAAACATTGGAGTCCCTAACGAGGCAACTGCCCTGGTGTCATGCTATGGTCCCGAGACGGCGTTCAGGCTTCTCGAGTTGGTGTGATGTGTATCCACCTGGAAACGGTGATGCTGGGCAGAGCCTCTGAGCTCCCACCCCATCCCCCATCCTTGGAAGGAGGACTCCAGCCTCTCTGGGTCACACCCAGCCTAAAACAAGGGCTGCACCCCTGTGTCCACCCTGTTTCCAGGTGGCCACGTGGCCAGCAGCCCAGAGTGCCTCACCCCAGGCCACAGACACAGTGTGGATGTTGGAAGGCCCTGCTGGGCCTCCAGCTGGACCAGGGCATCACAGCCAGCAGAGCTGGGGACAGGGAAGTCCTGGTAGGAGGCACTGTCCCCGAAGAGCAGGAGGCGAGGCTGCCAGCAGAACAGGAGGGGCCAAGACCTCCAGGAGAGTGATTCCATGAGGAGGGCAGTGCCTGAAGACTTGGCCTGTCATCCTCTTTGCAGATGGAGACCAGTGTGAAAACAACCCCTGCCAGAACCAGGGCACCTGCAAAGATGGCCTCGGGGACTACTTGTGCACCTGTGCGGAAGGCTTCGAGGGCAAAAACTGTGAGCTCTGTAAGTCCCTCTTCACGGTGCATGGAGAGAGGGGAGGCGCCACGACCCCTAACAAACCCACCTCGGGTTACCTCTAATTTCCCGAGTCTGCACTCTGTTACACTGTGAGTGACGTACTGGAGAGACCCCAGCAAACAGAGCCCCACTCCGTCCTGAGGCCAAGCTGGTGGAGTGCGGAGCTCTTCTGCTGCTTGGGGGCAGGAGCAGAGGTCCCCCGCCCCAGGCTGTGCACCATCACCATGGGAACAAGACTGCCTCTGTCGAGCCAGTACCCTGCTGTGTGGCCATGTTCCTCGAGACTTGGTACAGTGGGTCTAAAGCATCTTTAATTTACACCTGTAGATACAAATGCCAGTAAGGTATATGCAGGATTTCCCTTAATTCTACATAGGAAATGCACTGAGTTGTCTCTAATATGCTGAATTTCTAAAGTAAAAAATTAGGTCATGATTAGACCAGTTTTCCCTAAGGAGAAAAGTTTGCCTCTCACTTGTATTACTTCACTCAGCCTCTGTGGACTGTGTGCATAGAGCGGGCAATGTTAGGCCCTGGCCCAGTGGGGCGCTGGGTGTGACTGCTGCACAGAGCTCCAGTCGCTCCTGCACACGATGTGGCAAGCTTAGCACTGGTGTAGAGCAGACTCCAGGGCTCCTCTGCCTCGTGCAGAGCGCATCCAGCGATGGCCACAGGCTGCCTTGTCCCCGTGCTCTGGAGTTGGAAGGTGACAGGTTCCTGGATTCAGGGCTTGGTATGCAGGCTGGCAGTGACCCTGGAGCTGCACAATGGCCCTGTGAGGTGCTAACACTTCCACCACTTTGCAGGTGTAGACAGTGCAGCCGGCTGTAGAGCGTACACAAGGAGGCGTGCCACACAGCCCAGCCAAGTGGGCTTGGGCCAGAACTCTTTTCACAGTGTTGTCAACCATGGGCCTATGCGGGAGCCTGCCCCAGCCTCCTCAGGGAAGACTCCATAGGCTGGGGCTTCTAGTGAGTCCCATAGGATCCCAGATTGCATGAGGCTTTGCAGGGGCATCTAGATATTCCACCCCTAGCCCCTCAAAGACTCATGCATATGGCTTTATACAAAAGCCATTTAGTCCATTTCTAAGAATTGCCAAATTCTTAATAGTTTCAGAATTGTTGAAAAGTCTAAGTTAACAGTCTCCTCTGAGATTTAAGGCAAATGCTTAGCTATCAGCCCCAGTACAAACAAAAAGAAAGTGAGGGGGCCTGCCCCTTAGCTCAGTTCTTTAAGTGGCTGCTTCAACAAAGCAGTCAGGCTCAGGTTGCTGTGGTTCGATCCCCACAACACAAGCCAGCCAAACCTGCCCTGAAGGCATTTGGAGAAAAAAATAAAAAGAAAAAAAGAAAGAAAGTGAAACACTTCCAACATTTAATGGCACAAGGTAGACATTTCCATTTCAAAAGTTACAAATGGGGGACATAGAGGACTGGGACCAAAGCAAGTCCAAGATCCAGCACAGCAAATGTTAAGTCCTGTGGTTCTATGTGCAGCCTTTGAGGCAATCTGTGGCAGATGCGAACACCACAGGGCTTGGGTGAGTGGCCTAAGGTAGCACTGGGCCTACTCCGCTCTCCCCTAGCAGTGTTCCTTGGACAGTCCGCCTTCTCAGCCTCTCCAGGTTCCTGGGGCCTTCATTGCACCTTTGACCTCACACAGCTCGCACGCCACCCTCCAGGGGCATGCTGCCTGGCCTCCCAGGTCTTCTGAAGTCAGAGTGGAAGCCTTCTGATCCCACAACTCTTCCATCCTGCATACACTTAAAACCAGCACCACGTGGATAAGGAGGTCTGCTGCCAGCTGGAGCAGTAGCCCGCCTGCCCCCTCTCCCAGCTGTAGGGGTCGAGTGCACAAAGCACTGAGCACTCTGAATCCAGTTCCGTGGAGAAACTTCTCTAGGCTTCCACCCTCTGGAGCATGGTGCTCTGGGGCTTTTTTTTTCTCAACACAGTCTCTCACTTTCTCAGTTTTGAGGCTACGAAGGGTGGAGCTCTGCCTCTTCCTGTAATGCCTTCGATCCCAACTTCTTTATTCTCCTGTTGCTTCTCAGGAGTCAGGAACTCTGCTCCATCTTGGTAGTCCACAGTTTTAATGGGGTGTCCTTTCTGGGCAAACTCACACTTTAAATCATCGTGCTTGGCTCTTTGCTCTTGATTCTCAACATAAATCTGGCTAAAAGCCCCCAACAGTAGCCATGTCGCTGCCTCAACATATGATGGCCTTGACATTTCTTCTCCAAGATTAACTAGCCTGTCACCTTTAATCTCAGTCTCAGGCACTCTCTGGACATGAGCAAAATCCAGACAAACTTGTTTAACCCAGCAGAAACCTCCTGAACCTGGTCTATATGGGCAGGAACTCTGTCAGCCTTCTGGTCTTCTGAGCTCTGACTAGACTCTACTATACGGAACAGTCTAAGGCATTGGCAGCTCTGTTTTTTCAACCAGCCACTCCCAATCATTCTAAACTCTTCTCATGAGTCATTCTCGAGTCACCTGAACCACACGGTCAGGTGTAGTCACAGCAATGAACCCGTCTCTCTGGTACCAAATTCTGTATTAGTTACTTTTCTCTCATTGCTGAGACAAAATACTGACACCCAAAATTAAAGGAGAAAAGATTTATTTGGCTCACAGTTTACAGAGGTTTCAGTCCATAATCAGCTGGTTCTAAGGCAGGATGACACATGGCAGCGGAAGACAGCAAAAACAAATATAGATAGCTAGATAGATGAGCTCTCGAGCCTCTTTCTGTCCCATATATGGAATCCACCTCCCATGGGATTAGAATGGTGTCGAACTGCTCCAGCAATCTCTGACCCTTAACTCTATCACTGTACTAAGGATCAGTCACAAGCTCTAGAATCAGCCGTCTCTAGAAAACACTCTCTGACAAGGTATCTAGATAAACCCTAACAACAGAGCCACCAGCTGGCATGTGCGTGGCAGGGCTGTGGCTGGCTTGGTGGCATCTAGGGCACCAGCTGGGATGTATGAGGTTGTGTTAATCACCACCCTTATTGCTGAGATAAAATACTCAACACCCAAAACTCAAAGGAGAAGAGGTTTATTTTGGCTCCATAAAGTCTTAGCCCTTCGTGGTCCACTGGCTCCAGGCAGAAGCAGCATGGGACAGGGCCTGGTAGAGGACAGGAAGCTGGGAAGGAAGGGAAGACGGGCGAGGAGAGTCCCCCCTCCGGGCCAAGTCCCAGTGAGCTGGCTCCACCCAGGCCTCCCTCTTACTAGGAGCCAGCAGTGACCCCCACAATCCAGATGCATGAGGCTTTGGGGCCACTTTAGATCTAAGCCATAAGACGGGTGCTGCAGAATTAGCTGGTGGTTGGTAGGCAAGTGAAAGGAAGGCATACGGCTCCAGGCAGCCCCCAGACAGCGGGCACAGCCCTCATCAGGGTCATCGAGGCTACCCTCACTCTGATCTGGACCCAGCAGCCAAGGAGTGGCCATGGCTTGGAGGGGACAGAGTCTTCTGTGAGAGCATCAAAGTAGCACTGAGAGCTGGCATCTGTGGGAGGACCAGGCCCCATCTTCATGGTGGTCACAGAGAGCCTGCTGGCCTCGGAAGGAGGGGCTCCAAAGCCGCTGCCAGCCTGTGCCAGCCTCTGGCCCCAACAGCCTGCTGCTCCCCCCACCATGTCCCGGAGGATGCTACCTGGGAGTGCGTTCAGATTCCCGAAGGGCCAGCGCAGAGCCCTGCTGAGCGCTGTGTCCCTCACGTGGGCCCCAAGCTCCAGTCTCATCCTGCTCATGCTGGGCTACCCTGTGGGCCTCCGCAGGGTGCAGCAGGGCACGCCCACCCAGCTGCCTCGTGCGCACTGCAGCTTGCCTCTCCTCGCAGTCACCCGTGAGCTGTGCAGCCTGGACAATGGCAACTGTGAGCAGTTCTGCCAGGAGGTGGAGAACTTGGTGGTATGTTCCTGTGCCAAGGGCTACACACTGGGCGACAATGGCAGGTCCTGCATCTCCACAGGTAGGAGGCAGCCGGCTGGACTGCAGGGCTCAGCACCCAGCGGGCAGTGCCAGCGGCACTGTTCAGGTGTGAAGGCCCTGGGTCTGCAGCAGACCAGTATCCCAGGGCCCCAAACTCACTGGCAGATCCATTTCCTCATCTGCGGGACAGGCGAACGGTGTCACCCAGCTCCTGGGCTGGATATGGCACTGCCGAGGCCTTCTCCCTGCTATCCCTGACCACCTGCTTGCAAAGACCCCGACACGACCTCTGTGGGGGAGACCTGGGCCTGTGAAGCTGGCTGTCACAGCCAGATGGGTCAGGTGGGCACTGCTCTAGAGAGAGGTGGCCTGGGTGGTGAGCAGTCCAAGGACCCTGGGGTCTAATCAGGTTCTGTCCTCTACCCACAAAGGGAGTCAGCTGAGTGGGCACATCACATCCCTTTGCTCTCCACTGCCCGATGCAGTTGTAGGGACATGCAGGGAAACAGTCCCAGCTCAGGAGGACAGCGTGTCCCCCAGGTCCTTTACCAGGCCCAGCCCTGCCCTCCCGGAAGTGGACCATGAGCACAGTGGTTTACCAGAGCCACTGTGTTCTTCTTCATTTGTTTTTTTATGCAGTACCAGGGATTGAACTCAGGACCTTGTGCTTGCCAGGCAAGCACTTATTCTACTGAGCTATCTCCCCAGCCCCGCCCTTGTGTTCCTGTAGAGGCCTTCCCCTGTGGGAAGATCACCTGGCCACAGGGACGCAGGAGAAGGTCAGTGGCTCAGGGCATCAACAGCAACGAGTCGGTCCCTGGCAGTGCCGTGCTGGAGCCAGAGCCCCTGGACGACCTGAGCGCTACTGAGGACCCTTCTGACCTCCTCTACTTCAACAGCTCGGATGTGCAGACAGCAGACAATGACCTCGTGCGCATTGTGGGCGGCCAGAACTGCAAGGAGGGGGAGTGCCCCTGGCAGGTGACTGGGCTTTGCTGGGCCATACTGGCAACAAGGGAGGCCCCATACTGGGCCCTGCTGCAGCCTCAGGAGCCCCACACTATGTGCCCTGGCACTGGGGCGTCTCAGCATCCTGTGCCTGAATGACATGGGACACAGACACAGCCCACCTCCCCTGACGGGGAGACCCTGGTGGCCCTGGCACCACACAGGCACCTGTCGGCAAGGGTGAGGAAGTGGACAGGCCTTGATTCATTCCTGATGCAGTCATTATTTTTTTAACCCAAATAGCTCAATCCCAGAGGCAGAAAGTATCTTAGGGAAAAGCACATCTCTTTATGTTTGAATTTTTTTCTAAACTCATTGATTCCTAATTTGGATAAGGGCTACCACATTTAGAAAAAAACCCATGAGACTTCAAGTTCCTTTGGACTTCCTGTAAATAGGGAATGATTTCTAAGACAGCCTCTCTCAAATACCGCGTAGGACATATTGGTCAGAAAGGGTTGTTGTTCACCCAGTTCGGTGTAACTAGCTGCCCAGCTTTTCCTTGGCAGCCCTCACTCAGGCCTGACACACCACCACCAGCCACCCAGTGGCCACTCCAGGCTGAGTGGGCTGCTCGCCAAGGAGCCGCAGCGCAAGGCCGTTCCCGCTCTGCGGGTGCCGTCGAGGAAGCTCGCTGTCGGCTGGGTGCTGGGTGTGTGCCGTGTGAAACCACAGATGTGAGCCTTCACCATCTAAGCCTCTAGCCACAGCGGTGCTGTGGGCGTCGGTGGGCCCTGGATGGGAGGAGGGCCCCACACGAAGAGTGCATGGCCCCCAAACCTGGGGTGGGCTCTGCAGGCAGGAGGCCAGGGGTCTCAAGTCTGGTTCAGAGTGGGGCAGGGCAGAGGACAGGCTAGCCGCCAGGGTGCAGACCCTCCTTGGTTGGCAACACAGACGTTTCCTGCAGGCTTTGCTCGTCAACGAGGACAACAAGGGATTCTGCGGGGGCACCATCCTTAATGAGTACTACATTCTCACTGCGGCCCACTGTCTCCACCAAGCCAAGCGGTTCACGGTGAGGGTAGGTAAGTGACGTCTGCCCTCAGGCCCCAGGGACACTGCATGGCTGTCTCCTGGCAGGACCCCCGGGATAGGTGGGGACATTCACTGAAGGATGGGGGAGGGTGGGCAGCTGCAGACTCCATGGAGCACTCCCAGCCCCTACCCAGGCCCCAGACTCCATACCCCACCAGACACTCTTTGCCCTCGAGTCCCCTCTCCAGGAGCCACCTGGCCTCCCTCTCTCTCCATACTGCCTCTCTCTAGTAGAACCTAGAGCCATCCAGCAAATCCCAGTGCAAGCCACAGATGTGCCGTGGAAATCTGTGGTCATCTCAGGTTCTCTAGAGCACACTTAAGAAGCAGAGAGAGATGGTAACATTAGCTTTAATGTGGCACCTCCCTTAACCCTGTGCATCTAAATGTGAACATCACCCTGCGTGATTAAATAGAACAGATTGCAACTGTGAAGACAACATCTGTGTTCTCCTTTCCACGGTGGCCTGCTGTGCAGGTGCGCTGGGTTCTGGTGTGGGCACTGGGGCTGGTGATATAGCCCGGGGGACCTACGCAGCCTGGCGGTGCCCACCCAGGGCACCCCCGAGAGCACAGGCAGCAAGCCAGCTGTGTCCCACACACACCTTCATCAGACCGGGCAGATGGGAAGGCTGGAGGCTGCAGCTTTTGTTTCTTTCCAATTTCTTATGTTTCAAAGGCTTCAAACACGACCACATTTCTTTATTTTTATTAAACAATAAAAATAAACAAGTGAATAATTGCTTAGAAGTATCCACTGTACAGATGCTAGGCCAAAGGGCTCCAACTTCCAAGTGGGTTTTCGCCCCTTGCAGGTGAGCGGAACATGGAGGAGGAGGAGGGCAATGAGGTGACGCACGAGGTGGAGATTGTCATAAAGCACAATAAGTTCAACCTGCACACCTATGACTGCGACATCGCGGTACTCAAGCTGAAGACACCCATCACCTTCCGCATGAACGTGGCCCCCGCCTGCTTGCCACAGAAGGACTGGGCGGAGGCCACACTGATGACGCAGAAGACAGGCATCGTGAGTGGGTTCGGGCGCATCCACGAGAAGGGCCGCCAGTCCAGCACCCTCAAGATGCTGGAGGTGCCCTACGTGGACCGCAACACCTGCAAGCTGTCCACTGGCTTCACCATCACACAGAACATGTTCTGCGCGGGCTACGATGCCAAGCTGGAAGACACCTGCCAGGGGGACAGCGGTGGCCCCCATGTCACCCGGTTCAGGGATACCTACTACGTGACCGGCATCGTCAGCTGGGGAGAAGGGTGTGCAAGGAAAGGGAAGTTCGGGATCTATACCAAGGTCACCAACTTCCTCAAGTGGATCGAGAAGTCCATGCGGGCCAGGGTGCCGCCCAGGCTGGAGGCCCCAGCACCCACCAGGCCTGCCTATTAAAGCATCTGCTGCGGGCACCCAGGAGGCTGAGTCTGCTTCTGTGTGACACCGTTCCTGGGCAGGGCACTCCCACGGCAGCTGCCTACTCTCTCAAAACAGGCTAGGGACCTTATGGGGTATAGGCTTCATACCAGGTGAGGCCTCCGCTCTTGCTGGAGCCATCCCTGCCCCAGGCTGATTCTGTTCTTCAAGGGTCTGAGCCTTGTGCAGCCAGCCAAGCTTGATTTGTGGCTAGGAGTCCAGGCCCAAGGCCCTCACCTAGGACTAGGTAAGGCAGGGGTCCCACGCAGGTGAAAAGTAGCTTTCCTTGGAGGGTGACCTTGGCCAGCAATGCTGGGCCCTCCCCGGCTTCAGTTGGGACCCTGCAGAGCCTTTGAACATCCCGGTCTGGCCTCACCCGGCGCTGCCTTTCAGCCTGGGGATGGGTCCCTGCTGGTTCCTGGAACCTCCTCCTACCCGCTCAGGCCCCTGGAGGAGGGTGCTGGTGACCGGGGATGAGGGGCCCCCACCCACCGTGCTCACTGAGCACTGTCCTGGGCCCTGCATGCTTGTGGTGGACAGAACCGGCCGTTCAGAAGGGCCTTCTGGCAATCCCCAGAGTCCCAGCACAGTTTACTTTTGCATCATTTGCTAAGCAAAGTTCAGAAGTTCTAGTGCAAAGCTCCCAGACAGCCCAGCACCATGCTGCACTTTGCAAACAGATTTTGCAAGGCTGGGAGAAATCAGTGTGGACTGTTCTCGACTTCCCGGAACTGGGTCTAAGGGGCAGTGGCCCACACCACCCCCAGAGGCCTCGGGCCCAGCACTGACCAGCTGCTCCCCTCTGTCATGCTCACAGCCCCCTGCAGGAGACATGCGGCCTCTGGGGCCATCATCCAGGCCACAGTGACATGTGGGCCCATCCAGGTCCTCAAGGCAAACCATCCAGGATCCTGTTCCCAGGAAACAGAGGTCCTGTGGGTCCAGAGGACCTCAAGTCAGTGTCCTGTCTGTCACCATCTGTGCCCTTCATGGCTAGCCCCTGTCACAAGAGGACTCGTGAACATGTGTGTCGTGGGCACAGAAAGGCAGTGGGGCCCACCATTGACAGGGGAGGAGGCCTTTGTGCCCCAAAGGGCACAAACGGTATCTGTTGTAGCCCATCCAGAAGAGGGCCCAACCACAGAGGCTCTGGTGGACAGGCGGGACAGGGACATGGGGACCCCAGGACATGGGGCTGTTCCCCAGCTTTGCCAGTCTGGGGCTTGGTGGGTGCAACCTCTGCGCTGCCAACTCCTGCGTGTCCCTGGCAATGTCCTCCCTGTGAGTGCCCCTGCCTTCATCAGGAAAGCAGCACATTGATTCCACTTTGTCACCCCACGCTCGGGAGCTGCCCAGGGTCAGGGCTGGTGTCATCCAGACAGTGATGAGGGATGAAAGCCGGCAGGTAGGGAGTGGCAGGTGGGAAGCCTGGCGTGGCTCTCTCAGCTGAGTCTCTGGCTGAGCCTGCAACACCACTGCCAAGGCCCGTTGCCCCTGCTGCTCTTCCAGTGCAGTGGGGCCCTGAGGGACGACGAGAGATGTGTGCTGGGGTCACCGCAGCACCAGGGCTCTGAGGGCCACAGGCCCCGCTGCACCTGGCCTGCAGGTGGAGGTTGAGGGAAGAGCCCTGGGGTCCAGGTGCTTTTGGTCTCAGGGCCAGATGCCAGGCTGCAGAGAAGAAATCAACAGCGGGGCTTACAGGGCAGGGATTCGGGCTCATGGGCCTGCGACCATCACAGCAGCCTTGGGCAGGGGAGCAGCACCCTGAGTCCCCACTGTGAGGAGAATCAGTGAGAGGAGATGCTCACTGAGAGCCTCAGAGCTGCACCACAGCAGGAGCCACTAAGGACAGTAGCCAAGGTCAGCTTGACAGGATAAACCCTGGGGGACAGAACTACCAAATGCTCCAGCATTCTGCCCTGATGCCTGCCACATACTGGGTCTCCCTGGACATGGTACTAGCCCGACCTCATCATGGGGGACATCAGGCAATGCAGGCCAAGGGCAGCCTGGGCTCCCAGTGTCCACGTCAGCAGAGCAGAGACAGCACAATATGGCGTCAGACGAGAAGGAGGGACCAGTGGCTACAGTGGGAGAGAAAGGCCCTCTGGGTGTGCACATGTGAGAAGTCCTTGCCATGGGGGCCAGGAAACAGGAATGAGGAGAGACAGTGGCCCTGCAGGCCATGCCAGGGCTGTCCCCGTGGGGGGTCCAGATGAGCAGCATTTGGGGCCACTGCCCAGTTCTGAGCACCAGCCCAGGGCCAAGGTCACGCGGTGTGCACAGAAGGTTCCCATCACTGCTCACGTGGCTGTCCTTGTGGCAGGTGTGCAGGCCCCATGGGAGGAGGGGGAGGTCCTGCTGACAGGGTAGATACCAACGGGACCCAGAAGACCAAGAGGAGCTGGGTGGGGGCTGTCCCCAGGGAGAGGCTGTGTGGCAGAGCCATGTGTGGCTGGGCTGTGGTGGGAGGGAGGACTCCCTGGCCCAGGGTGCCGCACAGCCACCACCACCCTGGCCTCCAGGCCCCACTGGTCGCACCACCCACACAGGCTCACACAGACAGAGGGAGCAAAGTTGCTCCTGGAGTCTGAGGAGGAAGATAGCAGGGGCCAAGCGCCCTCCTCACACGGGAGGGCGGGCCCCCAGCCTTGGCAGAAGGGTTAGGAGAAGCCAGCCTGGCCTCAAGCCACCACCCTGGACTTTGGCCGTTCCTAAAACAAGAGTTCCCAAGACACTGCCAAGCCCAGGATGGGGTCAGCACCAACCCCCGCTCCAGTTCCCAGAGGAAAGCAAACAGGAGCCCAGCCTGTGCGCACAGGAGCAGCTGCAGAGGGCCAAAGGGTGGCCTCTGAAGAGCCAAGGTGGGTCGGCTCAGGGCCTTCCTTTACCTGCATCTCACCACAGTGAAAGGTACTTTATTCAAGACACCAGTGAGCACAGAACAAAACAAACGAACAAAAAGAGCCGAGACCGAAGCCCTAAATACCAAGGCTAGTGGGGTGCCCGGCCTCTGGACAGGGACAGGAGTTGGGGCTGAGCCCCCAAGTGCAGCCCAGACCCAGTGCCCTGGCCCCAAGCACAGTGAAGGAAGGTGCTGGTAGCGCCCCACAAACTTGACTGTGGGGTCCTCGCTGGCTCGCAGGGCCCCCGGCCGCCCCTCGCTGGCTCGCAGGGCCCCCGGCCGCCCCTCGCTGGCTCGCAGGGCCCCCGGCCGCCCCTCGCTGGCTGAGACAGTGGCTGTAAGAGCCCAGCTGCGCTTCTGTGCAGCTTTTCTCCTGCGTCCTGCTGTGCTTCCCACACCCAGTGCCCTGGCCCCAAGCACAGTGAAGGAAGGTGCTGGTAGCGCCCCACAAACTTGACTGTGGGCCCCTCGCTGGCTCGCAGGGCCCCCGGCCGCCCCTCGCTGGCTCGCAGGGCCCCCGGCCGCCCCTCGCTGGCTCGCAGGGCCCCCGGCCGCCCCTCGCTGGCTGAGACAGTGGCTGTAAGAGCCCAGCTGCGCTTCTGTGCAGCTTTTCTCCTGCGTCCTGCTGTGCTTCCCACAGCCTCAGGGTGGTGTCTCGTGGCTCTGGCTCCGGGAGCCTGGGCTCACACTGTACAGTGTGGATCAGAGAGACCCCAAATCTTCCTGAGCTCAGAGGTCAAGCTTTGGGAGGGTGATTGCATCATGGGGTGTCGTACGTACCAGTGGACTGGTCCACTGATGGGGACACCCTGATGTGGACACTAGAGTCTAGTGGGAGGAGGCGGTCCCTGGGGCATGACCTAGGGGTTCCCATCTTCCTCCCAGCTCCACTCTTTTTTTTTGTATTTTTTTTTTTTAGGGAAGGGTCTACAGGGTGTACAGGGTCTCACTTCACAGATCGGACTCATAGTGACCCGTCTATTTACAGCCTCCCAAGAGCTGGGATTACAGGTGCGTGAAACCAGGCCCAGTCTCAATCGCAGTCTCAGCACACCCCAGGGGTGAGGCTGGCATGACAGGCCCAGGGATTGAACCCCCGGCCCCTGCGCCTGCTTGCAGGCACTTTAATCCACTGAGCTATTGGATGGCTCCCCTCTTTTCTCTGCTTCCGGTCCTCTGTGCCTGGAGCAGTTTCCTCCGCCAGGCACGCCCACTGCACCTTCCTGCCTTGGGACCAGCTGACTGTAGAACCCAAATGTTGCAGAAGACTATTATCAAGCCAAACGGAAGCTCTCTGCTCCGAGGAGCTGGAAGGCGACTTGTATTACGCTTGTGGGCTGGGGAGCCCAGAGGTTCAAGTCACCAGCCAGAGTCAGGTTTGAGCTTAGTTTAAACAGGGTCTGTGAACGGGAACTCCAAAGCTGGGAGCACATTATTACATGATCGGCTCCACGGACTACAAGAATTACAGCATATCGCCGGGCAGGTTTGTACAGGAGCATTCTGGGCGGGAGGGGTCTGAGGCGAGCAGGTGGAGCGGAAAGTGTCCTGACTGGGCTGGTCTTCCCCAGATAGGACGGCCTTGAAGCCAGTTGGACTCCATGCATATTGTTAAAACACAAGCAGGACACAGTCAGTTTGACCCCACATGTTGCTAAGGAGGAACATCTGGGCCTAGACAGTCAAGGCCCATTTAGTCAATTGACTAAACTTAATTTAGTTCATTAAGGTTAAATGAACCCAGTAAGCTAACCACGTGACAGGCAGCTGGCGCCTGTGACTGCAGGCCCCCAGTTGAGTCCTACCTTTGGCCTGTAGGTCTGCTAGTCTGTAAGTACCTTAGGGAAACGTGATACCAAACAACCTCTGCTCCTGTAAGTGGTGGCTGTCAGGTATGGCGTCCTGGCCTCCAGCACGGGCAACAGACAGCGGAGGAGTGATGCCAGGCCAGGTGGCAGCAGCAGAGGGGACAGCACGAGACACAAATGCTTTCAAGGAGAACTGGGCCCCCAGGCTAGCATCAGGATCAGCTTTCTGTGAGATGGATGCTGCTTGAGTTCGGAGACACTGGGAAACAAGGAAGGCCTGCGAGCTGCAGACATGCTGCTATGTTGCACCACCGTGAGGCCGTAGAACAGGACAACAGGGTCACGCGTGGGACAGGACAACAGGGCCACGCGTGGGAGAGGACAACAGCGCCACGCGTGGGAGAGGCGCTCACGTCCAGTTCTGCACATTTCTGTCAACAGCTCCATCTGGAGACCTGCACAGAAGATGCACAGAGTGGGGCAGAGAGGGGCGTCCACAGCTCATGGGCGGGAAGACCCTCGCAGCATCCAGACCTCGGGGGCACTGCATCTGTGGGTCTCTTTGTGGAGGACAGAGCTGGGCACGGAGTGCAGGTCCTCAGCAAGGAGTCAGGTTGGCTCAGCAGCTCAAGCTGTCACGTGTTGCAGGGGGCTCGCTCCAAAACTGCCTTCTTGGAGACGGTGGACAAGAGAAACGAAAGCACTGCATGACACATTTCAGAAAGTTTGTGTCCCCCAGATCCGCATTTTGAAATCTGATTTTGAGACCCCTCCCCTCCAGTGTTGTTGGGAGGAGGGGTCTCAGGGCCACAATCTGCACTGAGTGTCAAGGATCAAAGGCTGGTGCCATCCTCACCAGTGGCATGCTGTGCCACTCCTCATGTGAGGGTGCAGTGGGACAGCCTGGTCTGTGTATCGGGCTTCTGGTTCTCAGGCTTCTGGCCTGCAGAACTGTGAGGCCAGGATGTGGATGACATGATCCAGTCTTTGCGCCATGGCCTGGACTTAGCGGGCAGGCCAATTGCCCAGGGGGCACTTGCACCAGGGGTGTGGTGCGGCGCTGCTCGGCCTGTGTCCTCTCTGGTTTCCTATTTCAAAGCAGCTCTTCCTGGTTCTGCAGTTACCCAGCAGGACCATTTGTAGTGTGTGGACTTCCAGGGCCTTGTCCCACCCTTTCACAGGAGGGACCTGTGACATTGCTGGGCTGGGTGTCACCCCAGCTGACACTGTGCACTATCAACTACCATCCCAGCTCAATCACCCACTACTGATAAGCTTTCATTTGTTTTCTTTCCAACTTTTAAAGCAAATTTTGCACCCTAAGCCTGTCAGTTTGTCCCTCTCAGTGCCTACTCTCATGGCCTCCCAACGCCCCTCTGTCACCCCCCCCCCAGTCTCCCTGGGAACTGGTCCCTACCTGATCCCACATCCATACCAGAGGCTCACTGTGTCCCAGGGCCTCGCTTCTGCCCTCTGCCTAGAGACCACAGCACCCACACAGCTGCACAAGTCATGTGGTGTCATGGGCTCCTTTGCCAGGGACTCAGCTGAGTCCCACAGCTGTGTCTCCCTACCCCTCCGCATGGGACCCAACGGACTTCTCTTTCTCTCCTTCCAACTTCCTCTGGAAGGTTCTGCCCGCACAAGGCAGCCACAGGTCCTTCCAGGATGCAAAGCTCCCCATGTCTCTCCTGCCCCCCTAGTATCTTCCTAACACCTGCAAACAAAGCATCAAGTTCTTACCTCAGCTTCAGGAGCTCCCTCTGGGGCAGCAGATCTGGAACAAATCCAGCCTGCCGTGTGCTCTTGCAAATGAAGCTTTTTTTTTTTTTTCGAAAATGGAATTGAACTCAGGCCCTTGTGCTTGTCAGGGAAGCACTTATTCCACTGAGCCATCTCCCCGGCCTGCAAATAAGCTTTATTGGTGTATGTCCCACTGCTCAGATGCTGGCAGCTGCGGACAGTCTCTCCAGCTCTTCTCTCTGGGCCCACGGTGATCGCACCCCCATTGCCGACCCCACAGCCCGCTGTGGAGGAGAAGACAGCTGCCCGTCTGCTGCGATGACACAGCCCTCTCCAGCATTCCCCGTTCCAGTCCCATTCTTCACTGGGACACAGCAGCTGTCCGTCAGACTGCCTTGTCTCCCGTGTCTTGTTCACCGTCACCAACATGACACTTGCACCCACACCTGCTCCAGGAGGTGTCTGCCCCGTCAGAATTTGAACTGAGGGATAGAAATGAGAAGGGCCAATGGGCAGGCTCCGACACAGATCAGTCAACCGGCTTGAGCTTAGGTCCATCATGGGAAGCCTGAAGTTGGACCAGCATGCAGGTCTGGATGTGGGCTGGCCGGCTGTGGGCTGCAGCTGCCTCTCCACACAGCACTCCCTTCACCAACTGGGTTGGCCTGGGAGTGCGCCATCTGGGCTGCTGACCCCGCTTGAGGTGCTGCGCAGGTCTCATTCACACTAACTCCTCACCTGACCCTTAGGCACTGCAGGCTCTATGGTCCTGTAGCACAGGTGGTGAGGACAGGGCAGTCACTACAGAAAAAGCCACTAGCACCAGGGACAGTGAAGGAGCTCAGGGACCAGCAGCCCACAGAGAGCGGGACAGAAGTGGCACAGTGCCGGCACTGCTTCCCTAGCAGAGCTGCACGATGCATCTCAGGATTTCTTCCCAGCTGGTGTGCGCTGCTGGTGCCAGCAGAGCTGAGTGCTGTGACAGATTGCCCACCCACAAAGCCAGGTCCTTGCTCTCCCTCCATGGAGAACCTGTCCCCTCTCCAGCTGCAGGTCTTCTGCCTGCTGCCTGCAGGGCCTGCAGCCCACATGGAGTTGTTCCTCACACAGGGCCGTGCCCCAGCCCTCTCCCCCAGCACCAGCCTCAGCCTCACTCCTCCTCAGGACCCGCAGGGGCTGCACTTGCATCCATCTGGGGTTCTGTCCCAGTCAGCTCCCCAAGTGGCCCCTCCGATCCCCACAGAGCCTGTTGACAGCACCCTCTCTCCTGTGTGAGGCTTCTTGTCACTGCGCCTGCTCACAGCTGCACCTGGGCCAGGCCCCTGGCAGGAAGACCCCCGCAGTGGATCCTAGGACACATAGCCTGGAGCTTCTGACCAGCCTCCTCCATCACCAGGTCCACACCCCCCTTCCCTGTGACCTCCCACTGCTCTCTCTGGGGCTTCCCCAAAAGGTCTGCTGGTGGACACAGAGAGGCAAGGAAGGAACGTGCATTGAGTGTCTGGCCCATGCCTCCCGCCCACACGTGAGGATCACTGGCTGTGATCCCTCGGAGTGGTCCTAGCACCTCTGGACGGGGCTCCTCCTGGCCTCCCCACGCCTCCTGCACCTCCCAGGACTGGACTTTGGCTGTTTGATCACCTGGCCCTGCTGGGCCAGCTCCGATCAGCATGGCCGGCCGCATCCCGCTGCTTTGGGGCCTTGTCATCGTCCTCCTCCTCCCCTGGGCAGAACTGTCGGGTAGGCACTGGCCAGCAGGTCGCAGAGGATGTTTTCCTAGGAGCAGGAAGCCCTGAGGCCCAGCCTTGCTGGTTCTGCCTCCTAAGGGCTGCTGGGTCTTACTGTCCTCAGTGACGAGGTACTGGGAATGGCATGTGGCCATGGGCCTCCCTAGCCATCCCGACATGGGACACAGGATGCAGAGGTGGGGACATGCCCTGGTGGGAGGGCAGGACAGGGTGCCAGAGGGGGTCTCAGCTTGGTGGGGAGGTTCTCTGAGCCCAGGTGTAAGGCAAAGAGGCCATAGCCCAGGACGGTGGGGAGCAGCTGGACGAGGTCTCATTGGGATCTCAGGGGTCTCAGCACTACCCCCTCCCACCAAATAACACAGCACAGCACTCCAAGCCTTGCAGTGTGTGTGTGTGGTTGGCCATGTCCCACTGCCTAACGCCTTGTCCTCTTCCTCCTTGCCCATTCCTTGACCAAGGTCCAGGGTCTCCATGGCAGTGTCCACTAACTGATCGCCACCCACCAGAGTTCACAGAGCTTCCATGTTCCCCAATTTGACCTGATGACCCTCCACAGAGGTGGGGCAGCCCAAGGCTGTTGTTCAGCTACCACTGTCCATCCATGCGATGCGGCACCTGGTGGCCCTGTGGTTATAGCAAGGTGCAGCCCATACTGGAGGTTTGGCAACACCAAGGGCAGAAGGTACCAGGACCCAGGAAGCTGAAGTGGGCAGGTGGTGACCCTGGTTGGCTCCAGGCTGGCTAAGCACGGCCTCTGCGGGCCCTGGAATCTCCAACCCTAAAACACCAGTGTCCTGATTCACAGGGGCTGTCCACACTCAACAAACATGACTTGGTGACCAGGCCAGGTGCTGCCTTCGCAGCCAACAGGGGCCTGCAGGACATGGTGTCACCATGAGCAGTCCCTGCTGATACATCCTGTGCTCCTCTTTGCCATTCAGTGTTTGTTCCAGCCTCAAGGGCAAACCAGGTTCTGCTCAGGAGGAAGCGTGCTGGCTCCTACATCCTGGAGGAGCTCTTCGAGGGCAACTTGGAAAAAGAATGTTATGAAGAGATCTGTGTCCACGAAGAGGCCAGAGAAGTGTTTGAGGATGATGCCGCCACGGTATGCTGTACCCCTCACGCTCACTTCCGCTGGGCCAAGGCTTCGGTCCCACCTGAGGGAAGAGGAAGTATCTTGGGCTGCACTGAAAACACAACAGTATTCATGTTCACGAGAAATGAAACTTGCTTTTTATATATATATATTTACTATGAGAGAAAAGGGCAGTAGCTTGGGACAGTTCTTCCTCAGACGCAAGGTGACTGGTTAGTGGAGGAGCAGGGCTCAGCTGTGAGGGCACCCAGCCTGCGCCTGCAGGCACCGCCACCCCAGCCTTCCTGTCAAAGGGAGTGTGGAGGGAGGGCTGGGCGCCCCTCAGGGTTGGTGCTGGCCTGGCCTCTTCCACCCCAGCACTGAAAAACTTAAAAATATAATATCTTCCCCTCTATGTAGTAAGAAAAAAATCCCATAATCTGTACTTCGAGGGAAGTAATGATTTTATCATGCGTGCAACTGCCAGGCTACTCTGACTAGCACCAGTCAGATCTGCCACGCCGTTGTGTGCAGGCTGAGCAGCAGCAGACACCAGGCTGAGTCCTGAGGCTGAGTATCCGTCCAAAGACATTTCAGAACACAGCCGTGCAGAGTGTGACTGGTGCCCACTGGGCTGCGTTCTGGGGTAGGACACTTGTTCTAGGTTGGATACCCAGCACAGAAAAAATTCTCATTTTTACATATAAAAGCAGCAGCATTTAAATTGCAGTCTCCCAAATGCACGCTCTAAGGGGACTTCCTGAAACTGCCCATTCTTTAACACAGTGAAGAGAAAAGAACATTGCAAGCAAGTAAAAAGAGAATTTCCTGAGCATTGTCCTGAATTTCAGTTTCCAACCTCTGGTCCAGAGCTCCCGATGTCATTCCAGAGGCAAGGAGCCGAGGGTGGCATGGGAAGTGTGTGTGTCACACACCTCTCCCATTGAGGGTTCCTACTGACTACTAGATGCCCCCCCCCACCTAATCCTACCCCCAAAAAAAGCCAAAATGTTGATGTGTACCTCTAGGGCGTGGCCATGGGACTGCCCTGGCAAGGAGGTGACAGGGCAGGTTGGAGCTTGTGTCCCTGTCCCGTGTGTCACCTTCCTCAATTGGGCCATAGAGGGAGATGGGGGAGCACGCTTAGTTCCAGGCACATTAAGTAAGTAGAAACTGCAACAGGCTGTCAAATAGGTGTGAAGAGCTCCACAGCTCTGTTCCCATAATATTCTGCTGCTAGGTGGCTACAGCCTGCGTTGTCCTCCGAGGACAGGAAAGGGCGCTGTTGTGACATGTCTCTATTTTTCTTCCCCAGGCTGCATTCTGGAGAGAGTACAGGGGTGAGTGGCTTCCTGTCCTTCTTGGCATGGGGACAAGGATGCCATGTCAGGCTGAACGTGGTCCCTGAGCTCAGGACCATGGGTGGCCAGCCCTGGGGGTGGGGGCGGTCATATGACAGGAGGTGCTGGGGCCCAGACCCAGGCAGATGCCATCGAGTGAGCAGGCAGAGGGAGTTGGCTCACATTACCCGTGGGTGGGATAGTGACAGAAGGCAAAGGAGATGGACACCAGCAGGGCCTGCCCTGTCCCTCAGGTGGCTCCCCATGCATCTCTCAGCCCTGCCTCAACAATGGCTCATGCCATGACACCATCCGCAGCTTCACCTGCACCTGCTCGCCGGGCTTCGAGGGCAGGACCTGCACGCTGGGTGAGCAGGGCCCGCGGGGGTGCGTAGGCCCAAGACCTCTCCCACTGCCCGGCGGGGGTCGGCAGTGTGGGGCGCCTCAGAGAGGGAGGGCAAGGGCCCACAGAGGGCAGTCATCAAGTGCGTGGGCTGATGTGCTTGGGCAGGCAGAGCCGGCTTCACACTAGGGGACCAACTCTCCTCTGAACCCGTCTCCCCTCCTCTGAACCCTCCATCTCCTCTTTGGCATCCCTGGAGAACATGCAGGAGCTGGCTATGTCCCTTGTGGAGCCCCTCCTGTCTCACCTCTCCTCCACAAGGCAACTCAGAGAACCCCACAGGGGATATCACAGCTGAGAGAGCAGGCCCAAGCGTGGCTGCAGACAGGGGCAGCAGGGTGGGGCAGCTTCTCAGGATAAACCACTTGTGGTCCCTGCCCTTCCTGCACCTGGGGTGGGTGAGTGTGGAGAGCTCACATGGGGACCTGGGACAGAGGATGGTGAGAAGACACCGCTGTCCCTTCTCAGCTAAGAACAGGTGCCACCCAGAGAGGCCTGACGGGTGCCAACACTTCTGCCACCCTGGTGAGGTGTCCTACACATGCAGCTGTGCACAGGGCCACAAGCTGGGCATAGACCGGAGATCGTGCGCTCCACACGGTAAGGCCGGCCCCTCCCATGCCCTTCTCCTGCAGGGACAGCTAAGGGCTCCATAGTGTACACCTGTAACCCCAGGTACTCAAGAGGCTGAGGCAGGAGGGCCACAGGCTCAAGTCCATCCCTAATACCCATGAAGCCTTGGGCTCCATGCCCAGCATGTGGAAGAGGGTACCCGCCTATGGCGAGGGGTGGCTGACCCAGCTGCAGCAGAGCTCATTGCACCCCTTGGCCCGCCCGAGTCTTGTCTTCTACCTGCGAGACACGGTGAGTGTGGCGCCAGGGTTTCACCCCACCTGGCTCTCCATATGTACACGTGGCCCAAAGAGCCAGACTTGAGGCAGGGTTGCTGGTTGTGCTGGCAGTGAGGCTGAGATATCGTGGAAGACCCTGATTTCTTTGTTTTGGTTTTCTGTCTCCACCACAATGAAGGGCAGTGTGCATGCGGAGTCCTGACTTCCCAGCACAGCAAGACCCCAGAGAGCAGCGGGCTGTGGCCACCCCATTTCCCGTGGCAGGTAACAAGTGTTTTGCCAGCAGCTTTAGTGTGGCTAGGCATGGTGGGCAAGCCTGTAATCCCAGCTCCCTAGGAGGCTGAAGCAGGAAGATTGCAAGTTCTAGCCCAGCCTGATTCACTTAGTCATCACCTGTTGGGCCAGAAGGTGGAGACAGCGAGGTGCATCTTTATTTTTTCCATGGTGGTGGCTGAACCCAGGCCTTCACGGTTGAGACCTAGGTCCAAGGTGGTCACTCACCTTCCTCTCATTTCCAGCACCTTTCTTCTTTAGTTGGTTTGCACTTGACACATGATCATGTTCAGGAAAACCAGTAGGTCTATGCACTAGTCTGGACCCCTCCCTACCCTCTCCTTCATTTCACTGCCCTACTTACTTCACTTTGTGCCTCTTGCGGGTAAGCACTGGTGAGTACCTTCTGTGTCTGGCTGCTTCCCTGGACATCGACTGCCCTGGGAGCCCGTGCTCTAGAGCCAGGTCCCTGGCGCCCGCGTTACTCGCTGTACAGAGAGCACCAGGCCACAGCACATGCAGGGTGAAGGCTGGGTCCTGTGAAGGGCACCCGCGCAGGCTGCGCAGTCCGGCTTTGCCTTGCCCAAGCCTCTGCCTTCCTTGGCCTTTGTTCCTGTTCTTCCCTCTTCTCTGTAAGCTGGTTTGGAAGTTAAAAGTCCTATTTCCAGTTAGGTATAGTGAGTCTTGACCTGTAGGCCTCAGACCTACTCCTTCTGGATCACACCAAGCACCTCTGTGACTTCAAGCCAGTATTTGATTCTTCTCTTCCTAAAAATGATTCCACGGAATATGCCTTGTATTTGCATTACTATGGCATCAAGCCAGAAGTATGGGGTCTGATCCCCACCAGCCCCACCTCCCTGGCAGACCCGTACCTTCTGCCTGTGTAGGAACAGTGTACACATCTGGAACTTTCTAGTAGCCACGTTACTAACAGGTGAAATTATGAGAGCGTCTTTTAACCCAATCTGGACATGGGCGCTGGTAGACGTGGTTGCTGCTGTGTCCCACCCTTGGCCTGGTGGCTCCCCTCTACCAAGGACCCTGACGTCTCCTGCAGTGTGGGTCAGGCAGAGTCCTGGCTTTATCTGAAGAGGCCAGAATCCCGCCTTCCTCCTCACACCCTCCCTTTCTGCAGATGGACGGCCCCGTCCCTGCACTTCCGGGGCGGCTTTCTGCCCTGGTGCCTTGTGACGAATGGCTGCTACCCATGCTGGGCTCTTGGGTTTGCAGCTATTGGTCGAGGATTCTTTCCCGCATGCTCGGACACACAGAAATGGTTCCATTTTTCCTTCTGTTCTACAGGATGTGTGCAGACTCTGGGCTGCACAACCCCAATCCAGACACATGGGATGCTCTGAAATCCAGAGCTTTGAATGTCACGGCAGGGCTCAAAAAGGTGGGCTCCGGAGCATTCAGACTTCAGATTGGGGTGCTCAACTTGTGGTTTAAACTGAGGGAAACTGTAGCAATTACCTTCTCAGATGCTTCTCGGGTCCCTGCCCTCCCCACCCTCTCCGGGGACACAGGGCCACGCAGTGTTTCAGTCTGCAGCCCCGACAGTCAGGCCCTGTAACGCACCTGTCCACTTCTCTTGCTGGGTCCTCAGTCTGCAGCCTTCCTCGCAGAGCTGGCTCAGCCATCAACCCCACTGGACTACAGTGCCCCCACAGGCCCGGCTCTTCGCCTCTCCACCTTGCTGACCTGGAGCACTGCTCCCACATACATCGCTCTCCTGTCTCTTGGTGGCTGGCTCGTCTTCCCAGCCCAGGTTCCAGTCCCTCTCCTCTGCTGCCTGGGGACTTTCAGTGGGCAGCCGGCACAGTGTCCTACCCCAACAGGAGCCAGATCACACTGTGCTCTAGAAGTTCACTTGTGTATTGCTCTGGGGTTTGGGTCAGCCGCTGGGGAAATGTCACCCACTGGCTACTTTTAGGACATGGGTAGGACCAGAGCAGATGTCCATGCAGGGCCAGCTTGCCCACCAAGGAGAGCCCTCAGTGCTCACCTGACAGCACTGCTTTGCTGGTAGACGGGCACCAGGGCTAGTCAGCCCGTACGAGCTGCGAAACCGTCCTCGCCCAAGGTCTTCCCTGCCCCACACGTCTTCTTTCCACACATGCCGGTCCAGGGTGGGCAGGAGGACCCGACAGGCGCTCCTCCACCTCTCCACCTGGGCAGGGGCACCCAGCAGACCGACACTCGTGGTGCCAGCACCTGCTTAAGGCCTAGCAGCCACTGCTGGGCGGGCTGGAGTACTGTGGTGGCTGACGTCTATGGAGCACATTCCTAGCCACTGCCTCACCCAGGCCGGCCCAGTGGTGCCCGAGCCGTACTGGGTCTGCTTTGTTTTTAAAGGTCAAACTGACAGATCCCCAAGGGAAAGACTTCTGTGGCGGCGTCCTCATCCAGGAGAGCTTCGTACTGACAACAGCACAGTGCTCACTGTCCCACGGGAACATCAGTGTCAAATCCAGTAAGTACGTTTCGCGAATGTGTTTATAAGACTTCACTGGAAGAGTAATTTTTTTCTAATGCAAGACCTGACAAACTGAGCATCAGTGGCACTGAGATGCCTGAACGACCAGGAAGCACGTGCCAAATGCCCTGAAGGGCCTCTGGGCAGCACAGGCCACGCTAACTAGTACTTGCATAAGGACCATAAAAGCCAAGAGTGACTTTCTCATGCAGAAGGGAGCAGCACTATGGCACAGAGCTGGCGGGCCAGGCCTGGCCGGCCCCTTGCGTGTGGCCCTCGGGCGACGGCAGTGCCTGTCCCCACACAGACCTGTGCTGTTTCTTCCTCCAGATGGGCAGCAGCTCCTCTCCTTGGGCATCTGTGAAGTTCACGAAATAAATTCCCAGTGTGCTCATAACAAACGCGAAGGGCTTCAAAGGAAATGTGTTTTCCCTCTTCCACCCCATTAACTCCCAACAACACAGCCTGAAAACCCTTTGGAGCACACGCGTTCTGGTCAGCGTGGAGAGGCTCCTCCCTGCAGCTCCTACACTGTTTCTGCAGTGCATGAGGACTCACTGCTTGCAAGGAGGGTGTGCGACAGGCATGAGTGGCGGGACCGTCCTGCACCGCCTCTCTCTCTCTCTCTCTCTCTCTCTCTCTCTCTCTCTCTCTCTCTCTCTCACACACACACACACACACACACACTCACACACACTCACACACACACACACAGAAGCTCCTGGCACACAGCCTCTGAGCAACCTTTCTCACCCCATCCCAGGTCCTGCTAGGCCGGGCAAGGCCCCGTGGGTGGCCAGGGTCAGGCGTGCACATGTGCACACACACTACGACGCAGAGTCAGGCCAGAACGACGTCTCCCTGCTGGAGCTGGAGCAGCCTGTGCAGTGTCCTGGCTTGGGGCTCCCAGTATGCACCCCAGAGCGGGACTTTACCGAGCAAGTCCTGGTCCCAGGGACGGTGGGCGTTCTCAGCGGCTGGGTGGTCAACGGCACCAACCTAGGCGACATGCTCACGACCCTGCCAGTCACACAGGTGGATGGGGAAGAGTGTGACCGAGCCCTGAATGCCACTGTCACCACCCGGATGTGCTGCGAGAGGGGCAGCATGGCAGCCGGGCCATGGGCGGCAGGAAGCGTGGTCACCAGAGAACACAAGGGAGCCTGGTTCCTCACAGGGATGCTGGGTTCAGCGCCACTGCCACAGCAGCAGGTAGCCACGTTTCTTGTGACCAAGGTCTCAAGATACACACTCTGGCTGAAGCAGACAATGAGATGAGCAAGACTGGGTCAGAAAGGGCAGGCCATGAACAAGGCTGCACATGGAACTCTGGGGACCTGATGCCACGGCACCGCTGGCAGCACGAGGCTGTCCTTTTAAGCCACCAATGAGTACGTGGACGGCCTCCTCCTAGGAGGTTTCATCTAAATCAAGACCTTAAAGAAAAACTGGACATGCTCAGGAATAAAACTGTCAATGTTAAACCAGCTGTTTCCCAACTGTCTCTTCTGTCACAGGCCACACACACACACACACACACCTCCTCTCGATGCAAGCAAGCAGGCACAGACTGGAAAGGAAGCACTAACTACACAAAGGGCCGTCTGCTAATGTGGCTTGGCCAGCCCCTACCAGTGTGCTCAAACAGATGCACATCCCAGAGAACAGCCGGAGAGGCTGTCGGGGGAGGAGGCCACGTGCGGGGACAGGGGTGGCAGGCCCATCGCTACTGCAGTGGCTCCCTAGAGGGCACACACAGCTCCCACGCTTAGTCAGGGTGGGCTGGAGCACCATGGTGGCCGCCGTCTGTGGAGCCACGTTCCTAGCCACTGCCTCAACCACCCCAACCCAGCAGTGCCCCAGCCGTCCTGGGTCTGTTTGTTTTTTAAACACAGCACAGACGAGTGACGTTTTCTTCTAAGCCAGTGCTTCATGAATGGAAACAAGTGAGCTCTGAAAAGGCTGAAAGCTCCCAGGGCCGTGGCTGGACTGAGCCCAGAAGTGGTGAGTCGTACACGGCCCGAGGATGACATGCTGACCTCAGCTGCTGCCACGCTGGCTGCCCAGCCCGTGACCCTGCCATCAGCTAGAGCACACTGGTCCTGGCAGGCTCTCAAACCTGAAAAGTCTGTATCAGATCGGAGTGCGCTTCTATAAAGAAACCTTAAATGAACCCAATAAATAAAAGGCTTAGACTTGATATATAAAAAAAGTAGAAGTACCCTAGAAGATATAATAAAGAATATGCCACAAGTATAAATTCGGAGTATCTTCCTTTATAGAAAGTACAAAGACTGCTTGCACCCGGCCTCCTTAGGAACAGCTGCTGCGGGCCAGCGCCTCCACACCTCCTGGGTCTCCCAGAGGCTGATGTGCTCCCAGGGGAGGCAGGAGTATCCAGGACACTGGGTGTGCTGGTCTCTTGGTCCCCGAAGAAAGCCCCGGGAACTTGTAGCCGCCGTGAGTCTCCCGAGGCGGCACAGGGCCAGAAGCCGGCCATCAGGGCCGCTGCTCCAGACCTCCACATCAGCACACGGTGGACAGTGGGGGAAACGGGTTTTGCTTGCTGACCACCAGCTTCTGGTGCTGATGCGATATGTAGCCCTTGATGTGGCCCTGGGGAGAGGCGGGGTCAGCATGCTTCCCGCCTGGTCGCCCAGGATGCTGGGCCCGGACCTTCCTCCCCGCTGGGGACAATGATGAAGACCACAAAAAGGATGGAGACTGTGGACACAGCCTGCAGCCCTTGAGGCCTTCGGGGGCATTCCCTGGATACGGTCGCACTCTCCAAAACACCTCCCCACAGCGGAGGGCCCTGGCAGGGCACACGCACCATGTAGATCAGGTTGGCCAGGATGCACTGCACTTCATCCAGGTCCACGTCTTCCACATGCATGAACTTCAGGGCCACCAGGAAGGCGTCCAAGGACAGCTGATGGGTTCTGAGTAGCAAGTACCTGGGAGAGGGAGTGGGGAGCCTGGGTCACTGTAGGGAACAGGCGTCAGTCACGTCAAGTAGATGATGACATCACAGTGTGCTGGCAGCTGAGGGAAGTTTTCAAGACTTCCAAGAGAGCAACATCAAAGAACCTGACGGGCTTCACCCAAGAACAGAAGGCTGACTACCAGCGGGGATGACAGGGGAGAGCGCTGGAACCCCACAAAAGCCCACGTAGGGAGGCACGGAAGAACTGTTCACCAGATGTGACCATCTCCAACAGAACGCTAAGCTTCACTCACAAGCCACGCATTCTGGGCTCGGGGACAGAGCCTGGGATCCCGCTGGAAGACAGCATGCTGTCCAAGCCTGGGCCTGAACTTACACACCGTGGGCGACTCAGACCAACTTGGTCTCACGTTTGGATGGGTGACCAGGATCAGGACCGTGTCCCAATACGCGTACCCTGTACAGCAAGGGTTCTGAGCTGAGGTATGAGGTGTGAGAACCGTGCCCTCTGAGTGCTCTCAGGCCTTCCTTCGCCTAAAGTGCCTGTGGCAGTCATGCCTACAGGTTATGTGGCCACCAGCAAAAGGGGCCCAGGACAAGTTGGGAAACCACAGCTTTTCATGAAGGAATAAAGGCAGTTCACAGTAGCTGTGCATGCTCTAAAGAACACTGCAGAAATTGGAGAACTTTGCCTATTTAAAAAGAACTGCATAGGCTGAGACAGCTCAGTGATCTAAGCGTCTGCCTGGCAAGGCAAGGACCTGAATTTGATCCCCGGTACTGCATGCTGTGCAAGCCCTGGAACCCGGGGTACACTGTGCAGATCACCAAAACCAGGTGTGGTGGTGGCACATGTCTGTAATCCCAGAACTGGAGAGGCTGAGGCAAGAGGATCACTACAAGTCTGACCTGAGTAGTGAGACCATGTACCAAATAAGTAAAAGATTAATAAAAAGAAAAAGAAGCTGTGAGGACAACCAGATCTTACGTTTACCAAGTGTCCCACCACTCAGTGCAAGATGCCTACCTTTTCACTCAGCAGTAGCTCTGAGCTGAGGACACACCTACAGGAGTGTCCCGGGGCTCGACTGCGGCCATTACTTCTGATGGGTGAACTGAGCCCCACAGACTTCCCAACATGGACACACAGGTGGCACCTGGGATAGGGGAAGGCTGCAGGCGACCCACACGCCTGCCTTTCCAACACGTGGGTGGCCTGGACAAAGGACAGGCAGGGCACAGCACGCCAGGGGCCGCAACTCACACTTTCTTGAAGAGGTTCCTGTAGGTGATGATCTTGAGCTTCTCCAGGATGAGGAAGATGCCACAGCGGATGAAGAAGGTCTCATGCCTGGCCAGTGCCTCATGCAGCAGCAGCAGGTTGCCCTCACTGGGACAGCAGGAGAGCGCGTGAGCCCCACCCCACCCCAGCCTTCGCCACTGCCTCCTGGGGAAGAGACAACACCCACCTCACAGCTTTAGTCACCTCAGCGAACTGCATGAGGTGGTACTTTCTCAGCAGCTCCACAGTCGGCATGTGGCCCTGCAGAGACAAGGGTGACTCTTCAGAGTGGGTTAAACTTTACCAGGGAGTCAGACTCTTCGACGCTGCAGAGGATGCCAGGCGAACATGATGGCATGGTTGCAACAGTCAGTGGCTGGGCCCTTGCGCTTAACCTTCGTGTGCTGCTGTTGTTGCTGACGTGATAGGACGGGGCAAGAACAGAGAGCGGCACGTGCACAGGACACGGGCAGGGAACACCTCCCTTAAGGGTCGGCAAGCACAACTCCAGCCCCAGGCAGGGCCCCGCTCTGCACCAGGTGCTCTGGGCTGCATCACTCCCAGCACATGTGGGTATGACTCCACCGTTCTTCATTCCGTTAGTAGTGTCAGGGGAGAGAAAAGCAGCTCCACTACGGTGAGGCTGTGACCAGTGCCTAACCTACCAGCTGTGACTGGCTTTCTTCCTGAGTACCAGACCGAACTCAGGGGCTCCACAAGACTGGCCACAAGCACAGCTCCTCTCTGCCCAGCTGATGCTACAGGGTTAGGCTTCAGGAGAAATGCTGGCAGTACAAACGTTCAGCCTCAGAATTACTTTCAAGAAGCAGCCCAATCACCACCACTCTGGAAAGGCCGAGGGCCAGGCTCAGAGGGAGCACTCCGCCACGCATGGCCACAAGACCCCAGCCCTCCACATGGTGACAGCGCTGCAGAGCAGGACAGTCACTCACCAGCAGCATCTTCACGGGCAGCAGGTAGATGAGGATCATCCTCTTGTTCTTCTGGCTGGCGCGGTGGCAGTGCGTGAAGGCGAAGGACAGGTACTCCTCGGCTGCACAGCAGACACACTTGTTAGCTGCACACCCCGCCCTGCTCCTGTCCTGCCCACACGTTCACAGGGCTCCACTCGTGTCAAGCAGACTTGACCGGACAGATTTCAAAGCACAAAGCAGACATTATTACTCAGATTAAGCCACAGACCACATAGTGCAGACCTTGGAGTTTCCGCCTGGGCCACCTAGACACTCCGTCAGCACAAGTGGGCATCAGGATGCTCCCAGCCTGAAGGTGCAGGGCACGGTCCACACAGGGCACAGGAGGCTGCCTCAGGAGCAGGAGCACTAGGCAGCCAGTAGGCAGCTCATGTTGAGGGAGCACACAGAGGGCTGGCATGGACACAGAGCTTGCCAGAGGCAGGAGTGCTGGGCCAGCAAATAAACATGTACCCTTGCCCAGGAAGGGTGGCCACTGCGGGGCCCAGAGAGGCACCCTGGACTGGAAGCTGTGCACCAGGAGCCCCACGGAGGCCCCAAGGCCACATGCAGGCTGCCCACTGCACCTATAGCCTGAGGGTGACCCTTGACCTGGCCCTCACCCCTGAGGAACACAAATGTGGCCTCTCCAATGTCCCTGTCCCTGAGAGTCCAGAAAGGCATCAAATGTTGTGTTTTGCTTGGAAACAAAAATATCTAGAGGGGCAAGAATCTCTGAAACTAAATTAATGAGAATGTGTAACAATGAGCTGAGATGCTCCAAGTACTTCCTTCTTCACACATAAAAGTCCCCTGAAAGAGCTGAAATCACTCTACTCGTTGCAGTGTTTCACCCACCGGGATACATTGCAGAACAGCAGAAATTCCAGGCAAAAGCTGCCAGGCAGAGGACTCCAGGCCACAGCCACAGTGCCAGTACGAGTCAGGCAGGGGAGCAGTGTGTCTCCCAGGAAACCAGGGCTGAGCAGGCAGCCCGGAAGGCACTTGAGCCCTGAAGGTGGGGATGCTGACTCTTGGGCATGAACAGCAAGCCCCCGTGCCAGCTGTGCCAGGTCTTCACCTGGCCTGCTCAGCCGCTGGTGGGGGAAACCACAGTAGCACCTTGGTGAACTTCAGTGGGATTTAATTTCAAGTATCTCCTTATGCCTTCTGAAGAGAGGGGGAGAACCAAGGAAGGCCTCCCTTGAAATGTCTGACATCTACTGAAGATTTTGTGAAAAAAAAAAAAAAAAAAAAAAAGGAGCCTGAGTAAGCCTGAGAGTACAAGGCAGGTCAAGTGCAATTGCTCCTACCTGCCGAGAACCCAGCCCTGGGCAGTGGCTGTCAGCTGCACCCACCCGGGCCCTTGCTGGCTCTGCATGCCAGGTGTGCTCAGCCCACAAACAGCAGAGGCAGCGAGCCCAAGTCTGATGCAAGGGCACGAGGACAGCGGAGCACACAGCCCTGCTCCCCACGGAAAGGTGGTGAAGACACAAGACTGGCTCCAGCATCTTGAGAAAGCTGCCAGCACGGACTGATGTGACCAGTGTGGCTGCACTGCCAGCCGGAGGCTCCGGGGAAAGCCAGCAATAGGAGCAGGACCAAGGCCCAGGACACTCCCTGCTGCCTGCTGCGGCCTTCCACCAGGACCTTGGGAGCCCGCAGTGAAGACACTATTCTTCCACCAGAGATGCACACCTGCAATCCAAGCACTCAGGCAAGCTAGGGCACAAGCATCACAAGTTTGAGCCCAGTCCAATTTAGCAACTTAATGAAACCCTGACACAAAATGAAAAGTAGAAAAAGGGCTGAAGGTGTAACTCAGTGCAAAGCCCTGGCTTCAACGACGAGTACTGGAAAAAATAAAGGAAAGATGAAAAAGACCATTACCATCCCCCAAAGGCTGGCCAGTGACCCTGGGACCTGCACAGAGAGAATCTTAAGCGCAAGTCTATGCGCACGCGCACACACACGCGCACGCACCGCCCCCCCCAGTAAGGACAAACAGTGCTTGTGTTCCCTGACATTGCTCATCTCTCCCGAGGAGAGTGACAACACACCTTGCTTAAAGTCACTGTCAAACATGGCCTTGCGTCCCACGTAGTACTTGTATGTGACTCTCTGTGCAGTGCTGTAGTCATCCTTCAGGTTGGAGCTGTCGATGGCGCGGATGAGGGGCTTGCACAGGTGCAGCTTGTTGATCTGAGTCCCAGCAGGCCCAGGGGCAGGCGGAAGGGCAAGCAGACAAACGGCTTTACCACGAGCATGGCTTGCCTCCCTCCCAAATTAACAACAGCATGCGACTGGCCTACCACAGCCACAGGCTCTCAGGAAAGGTGGCTGGCCACATTGGCAGGGACAGGTCATGTGACCCGAGTGCAAGGACAGGCCCTGCATGACACGTGACCTCAAAACGATCTCTATGCACCCAGCCACCTCTACAGCTCTACTTTCGAAGAGCTCTCAGCCAGGACTGAAGGCTTTGAGGGCGCTGCCTGCTCGAGGAGGCTCCTGGCACGCAGGTGAGGGCCTCGGCCCAGCAGAGCCACCTGCATTCACCCAGGGCTGACGGAGTAGTTGTGCAGGAAGCACGGGAACAGAAGCTTCCTTGTGAGGCCGCTGCTAGGCAAGCATCAGGCTGAGGGGGTCACTGGCAGCTGTGTCACTTCCCAAGCGTGCCAGGGTGGCCAGGTGGCAGTAGCAGAAATGACAGGAGAGAGGACTTAGAAAGCTACCTTGAAGTAGATCTTAAACAGCTGATTCACAAGAAACAGCATGCCCCACTTCTTCGAGTCCTCGATGCCAGCGCGACTGCAGGAAAGTAACATTTATAAAGTTATGCAGGAAATGAAATGCATGCCACAAAACAAACTGCCTAACAGATTACTATCTTGAGATTAAATCCCACAACTTGAGTTGTCTCCACCAAATAAAATATCATTATGAAAAAAGCACTGGGTTGGGGAGAAGGCTCAGCAGTCTAACTGCCCGCCTGGCAAGCGCAAAGACCCAAGTTCAATCCCTGGTACCTCATGCTGTGCCAGCCCCAAAAATGGGTGTGGTGACCTATACCTATAATCCCAGCACTGGGGAGGCTGAGACAGGAGGATCCCTACGAGTCAAGCTGTGTAGCGAGACCCTGAACCAAGTAAATAAAAAATAATAATGATAAAAGAAGAAAGGTGTTTTAGAGCCAGGGAAATAGCTCAGTGGCATAAGCACCTGCCTGGCAAGCACAAGGTCCCAAGTGTGACTCTTGGTACAAAAAAAAAAGACAGTACAAACATCACAAAGCAGGGCAGGGTCCCCATGCACAGCCACCCAAGGACACTCATGCAGTGGGTGACCAGAGGCTGTTTCTTGACAGGGCTGGGACAGAGGTACATGGGTGCACTCATCAAAATTTTTAGCACACACAGAGTTCAGGCCTGTCAGTTGAAGGGAAGTATACCCCAGTGCCTGCAATTAACTCTGAAATACATATTTGAACAGGAATAAAAGAGAACTTGAGACAAAGGGAAGGACACAGACGGGAGACAGCAGCAGATCTACAGAGCAAGCACAGCAGAGCTCATGGAGTGGAGTTCTCAGTCACCGCTCTCAGACCCTTTCAGTGTCATTTTCCACGATGCCACACTGTGGAGACTCATCTGAGGCACTCTTGTCTTCTCCCTGCCTCCCTGGAAGATGGCCAGCCAAAGCGAGCAGTCTGGCAGCACATGGGCAACACAGCCCAAGCCTAGCAGCAAAAGTGCTCCTTGGCAACAAGCTGGGCCCACACAGCAAGCTTCGCAACTGTTCTGCACTAACTGCCTGCTAGTCCGCTGCTGTGCAGCTCTTTCACACTTTTCATGGCTGCTAGCCCCTTGGTTGGAGTGAGACTCCCGCTGTCTCTCGCTCCCATACCCTGCGTCAAGGAGTCACATGCAAAAATCTGACAGCAGGAAGCACAGACAGGACTGGCTGCCTTGTGGCATCTCCAGCCTGGCTGGTGCCTAGCAGGGACGCTGACCCTTGGGGTAAAATGTGTTCCTTGGCATTTGCCTTGTCTCCCAGGCCCACACCCACTCAGTGGCTCCAGGCCCAGCCTTCCGAGGGCTCCACCCCAGCAGCAGCCCTGTCTCTGCCCACCACCATCCAGAGGGGCAAGATGTGTACGATAGGTTCTGGCCCTAGTATAAATTTCTGAGTAATTATTGTAGTCATCTAACATGGCTGAGGCCCTTATAACAAAAGCCCATCTTTCCCAAGACTACCTTCCCCCTTCAACTCAGTGCAGGGTGCAGTTTCCTTTCGCCCTTCCCGCCACCTCGGTGAAGACCCCCAATCAAGTGTATCTAAACATCCCCTCAAACCCTGCCCCTGGCAAAAGGTCCTAAAAGCCCCAGCCTCCCTTTGTTCAAATCCAGAGAACCCTCATCTTCCCCAGATTCTCTCATGTCCTCAAAGATACTGAAGCCCCTTTCCCTCTTTCTTCTGCCTGTTTCTCTGCTGCACAGGCACCTGAAAAAACCCTATCAGTGTAGGCCTGCTCTTCTCAGGTCAACTGGCCATGGGCACCCTTTCGCGTGATTATTGACCATCTGAGTAGCTTTAGATTTTTCAAATCCTTGTCTGTTTTTAAATTGGTTTGTCTTATTACTGTTCAATTATAGTATTCCAGACACCAAATTGTTATCGATACGCTATTTGTAAATATATTCTGTTCATTCTACAGTTATTTCTCACTTTTTGGTACTGTCCTGTGAAGCACAGGTCTTTAATGTTTATTGTTGTTTTGGGGGGTTTTTTTGGTACCAGTGATCAAACTTGGGACCCTGTGCTTGCCAGGCAGGTGCTTATGTCGCTGAGCTATGTCCCCGCCCCTATGAATCCTTAATCTTTATAAAGTCCAACTTAGCTATCGCTTCTGTAGTTCCTCTGCTTTTGGTACTGAGCTGGAAAATGACTCCTTCACCGGAGGTCACAGAGACACAGCTGTGTGGGAGTTTCAAGTGTTCGCTTAAAACATTCATCAAGTTATTCTACTGTGCGAGACACAATGCCAGCAGAGACCTAGCCCTCCTGCACTCCGCAATGGATGCATACGATCCTCAGCGCGCCATGAGGAAAGACAGCACTGTGAAAGGCTGGGGAGGATGCCTGTCCGCTGGTGCTGCAGGGGCAAGCGCTGCAGAAAGCAGAGACCCTGTCACGCAGGGACCACAGGGAGAATGGAGGACACCCAGGCAAATGAAAGAGCTCTTGGAGCACTTCACTGGGAAGGCCCTTAGTACATGAGGGATTTCCTCAAGTCCAGGTCAGGCTGGAATGTTCTGAAGGGACTGAAAGGGGGAGAAAGGGGAGAAGGTGCAGAGCTGGAAGAGTCTCTGCTGTATACATTCAGTATTTCTGAGCAAGCCAGTGGCACACGTCTATGTCCCTGCTACTCAGGAGGATCACATGTTGGAGGGCAGCCTGGGAACTTAAACTACATCTAAAAACATCCTAAAAGATCAGGGAATAAAACAACCTGTATATACTACACACACACATTCCTAAATCTCACCATCAAATGTTATTATATGAGTGAAGAGCTGGAGTCTTAGGAGAAAGACGGAAACTAAAGTAGACTCAGAAAGTGTAGAACTAAAAAACAAATAATGGCAGCTAAGATCAGCCACTTTGCTCAACACAAGCTGCCCAAAATGAAGAGAGGGATAAACATAAAAGAATGTAAAGACTCTAAAACAATACCATCAACTTACAAACCTAAGAAACTCAACAACTCTACAGAGGAGAAAAGAAAAACACCAAGCAGCCAAAGTCGCACCAAGCTCCCAAAAGCCAAAGACAGAGTGAAGCCAACGGAGGACCAGACCGTGCTGGGCCAGGGGCTGGGTCAGCCCCGTATGCCACCAGCAGCACAGCAGCACCTTGGAGGGACCCAAGTGAGGAGGACA